GTGTGTCTGAACTTCACTTGACCGTCTAAATGTTTTCCCACATTTAACACACTTATAAGGCTTGACTCCACTGTGACTATTCATTTCGGCCCATTCTTCATCACTCGGTATCTTGTAGATTACGGAATGGGGCAAGTGTGCCAAATGGCATCGGGATCACTCGTAAGTGTCCGTAGACTAAACGCACGAGACGCTCATTCGTCACCACTCGCCCCTTTCCATAACCTGCAAGAAGACTCGTCCCTCTATCGATGAATGTTATGTGCGAAAATACAAACCACTCAGCATGCGCGTATGATTTCAAGTACTTCGGTCGAATCCCTCAAAAATAATTTTTGATTAAACAAATGTCTTGCATTTAAAAATATACCCAAGATACAGTTAAATATGTTCAATCATACTGTATAATACTGAAAGTTCAGATGTGTTTTCAATAACATCTGGAATAACATACGATAAATGGGGGAACTATCCCCCTGGATGCCAGAGGGACATGTCCATCCTCTTCAAACCTCACTTTGAAGTCGAATAAAATTCAACATACGCACACAAATACACTTCATAGTTTTGAATTCTGTGGGACATTTTCTGTTCTGTGATATCCTCCATTGCCATTTTAGGCAAAGCAAAATTACTGAAAAGTAGGTACACCGTAAATGTCACCATTGTTTACATATTACAAAATCACCATTCACACAGTTATTTACAGCATGTTTCGAAATCTAAAATGTCGGATATTTACTCACAGAAATGAATTTAGCACATTCGTGATCACGGGTATCTGTCTTTAATCAAATGACCAATGATCATTCCAAAACGTCGCCGATAACCCCAGAATCGTTTAGAATGTTTTGGAAAATACGCAAACGCGAACGCCGAAGTGAACTTTCCGCGATATTGGATAGTGTTTACATTTTCACGTTTCACGTATTCCGGTGAGCGTGAGTGAGTTTGATTTTACGCCGCTTTAAGCAATAGTCCAGCAATATCACGGCGGGGGACACCAGAAATGGGCTTTACACATTATACCCATGTCGGGAATCGAACACGGGTCTTCGGTGTGACGAGCGAACGCTTTAACCACTAGGCTACACGACCTCCCCCACGTATGCCGGTAATGTGATGCCTATAACGTATATGTCAAACTCAGCTGTGATACAAACAACCTTGAATTCCTCATACATTTTACAAATGATTTGTGTCACCAATACAAAGTGTCAAGATGAAACCATGCAATATAAATTAGGTGTGAAAACGAACGGTATGGTCGGAAAACTGCACTTGTTTGAAATGTAAACAAAGCAAAATTCATATTTTACACTGTGTGGTATATTCTCCTATTTTGAGCTATACATTCGTTGCATACATTGGCTCAACATTTCAGAATATTCATATTTTCAGAAAATCGTAGCAAGAATTAGGGAATTAAAAAGAGATACATTGCAATGATTTGGTAATATCAACAAAATATTGTCAAAGTTTCCGTGACGCCATGACGTCATGACTGACGCAAAATCACGCTCACAAAATCACAACGGTATTTATCAGGCGGATGCTCTGACTATTTCTCTTGGTTTCAATGAAAAAAATAAAACTAAATAACAGCCAGTACACATGCAGGTTGTCAGAATGTTTCTGATTACTTACATGTCACATTTATGTATCTACGGTCCCAGTATCAACGAAAGTCCCATACAAAATCCCACCTAATGTTGTCAGTGCCATAAAAGGTGACTATGCTTGTCGTAAAAGGCGACTAACGGGATCGGGTGGTCAGGCTCGCTGACTTGGTTGATACATGTCATCGATCCCAATTGCGTGGATCGATGCTCATGATATCAATCACTAGATTGGCTGGTCCAGACTCGATTATTTACAGACCACCGTCATATAGCTGGAATATTGCTGAGTGCGGCGTTGAACAACAAACCAAACCAAAACCAAAGCTAAACTACGTAAAGTCTCGACTCGTCCCGTAACCTACTCACGATCACTGCCGCGCGAGATAAAGATATAAATATCGCGTGGCTGTGCGAGATCTGCGAAATTCGACGGCTCGCGTCGAGTGTTTACGGACTTTATTTCATTCATCTATTTCATCCACGGTAAGTTATGTTACTTTTCTTGATTTGGCTGTAAAGGACGACAATCTTAAATCATAGATATGTCAAACTTTATGTAGCTTATAATATATTTAAAGGGAAACTAAATCACGCACTGTCCCGAAGCACTAACACATAGAAAATGGCGGCCCCCTCGAAATCTGGAAAATAGTCATTTTCCTAGTGCATATTAGTCAAGTGAAATGTAATTAAAGTCCTTAGTTACTTGGGTGTATTAAACGATCTGTGATTCTTCCGAGTAACTGTGTAATTTGCTTCGTAGTTTGTTTTGGTACTGTGTCAAAAACGGCAATCAAAATATATCATCGTGGTGATAACGCTTCATTATGCGACATCTTATGATACACTTATTTAAGTACTTAATTCCTACAACAATATTTCACTTGCATTTTTGCAAAAAGCACTATTTGGTGCATGTAGCATGATGAATTAAAATATTTTTTAATCTAACATTTTATGAAGTTTCGTCATAGACTGGACTGTCACTAGTGTCAGTGTAGGTGTCACCTCCATCGAAGCTTTCGTCAGACAGTCGCTCTATGTCATAATCTGTATAGTCGCCAAGGAATAGGTCTAAATCCAAATCAGAATCATCCCAGTGTATAAAGTCGCGAAGATGATATCGAAGGAAAATGATATGTAGGCTGATCGAGTTTGCCTTATAAAAGGACATACGTCCGACAGCTGAAGCATTGTTTACAATACAGCCTGAAGTATTTTTATTCAACATCTGTGTCTGCACAAAAACAAAGGGAACCCTTTTGTTCTCCTTCCCCGGGTTCTTTAAAGATCAGGCCAAACGGCACCTGACACTGATTTTGGTCGCGCCTTGGTGGTCGGCCAGAAGTTGGCTTGTCAACCTCCGAAACATCACTAGAGACAACCCCCTTGAACTTCTAGCGTGGCCCAACCTTCTGCTCCACCCACACAGTTGGTTGCAACACCCAAACCCTGCATGGTCTCGTGTGCGCCTGGCACATGTGCAGAAAGCCCTAGGAGCCAAGGGCTATTCAGCTGGAGCGTCCAAGGCAATTGCATCAGCCCACCATCCATCGGGACTGTATGATGATAAATGGTGTTCGTTCCAGGCATTCTGCTCAGACAAACACAGCAGTGTCACCACAGTTCCTGGTTGAGTTCCTTCTGTACTTGCGCAGCACACGTTGGTTGAAAAGCTCTGCCATCTACACATACCTGGTCGCCATCAACTCTGTTCTTGCCATATCAGAGGATCGGAGAATGATGAAAATTAGATCAGTTCTAGTTTTTAGCTACCTGTCTCATTCTATTTCTGTCACCTATTCAGGTTTTACTTTTTGCATCGACTCTTGTTTCCTGACGTCAGGAATGGTAGAAGATGTTTACGCCACCGCTGTATGTCCAATACCCCGAGCGGGGCCCGTCGATCTCTCTGGTGTTTATCAACCCAGATTAGAGGGCTCTACTGCGTTCCGCATTCTCTCTTAGGTAAGTTCTAGTTTAGGCTACCCGCCTCATTCTATTTCTGTCACCTATACTCTTGAGTCCTGAAGATAGGAATGGTCGTAGATGTTCCGGTTATCACTTGTTTGAGGTGCTGATTCATAATAAACCCTCGTCAAGGTCCGATAAATCAGCACCTCAAACAAGTGATAACCGGAACATCTACGACCATTCCTACCTGATTCATCGGACCTTGACGAGGGTTTATTATGAATCACATATTAAGGTATGCCCACCGGCTATGCTGTTTGATAAAGATGCAATACGGAGTAATGCAGGATAAGTTAAAAAAAAAATTAAAATCTAAATATTTTTTTAGCATGTTTAGATTTGTATAGCTATCCTGAATTACATAGTCTAAGTGCTCTTCCTTCGGTACACTGCCTCCCCACAAAGTTTCAGATGTTATGTTTAAAGCAGTTAATATGAGTTATGTGTTTTGGTGTGACATCATGACTTCCAGGTCATGTGCCGACTGAGCGAGGGTGCTGCCTCTCCTGGTTGGAACAACTTTTCTTCAACAGCTGGATCTCACACAGTTCGTCTCTCTGTCAAAAGACAGCAGTAAATGCAATACCGTATACAGAGTAATGCAGGATAAATATACAAATGTAAAAAAATATTTAGATTTTACTAAAATTAATGAATCGAAAAAATAATAAATGTATATTAGCTTATGCACTCTTGATGACCCCTGATGTCACGGGGCATTGTTTCGCTGGTGTGACTTGCAACAAAATACTACAAATTATGTCATAGGGTATTGTCATGTGTTTGAAAAGTTTGTGGTACTGTATTCTAAAGGTAGGCCATCTTATTTGTTGTAATTAATGTTTCAAGTTCACTACTAAAATAGCTGTTAAGAACATGTATCTACAGAGAGCTTTCCCTTTCTAACCTGCTCTGAAATATTTATTGTCAAGAAGTATCTATGTGATTTGACTTTAATATGCGTATCATGATACGTACCTATGTTTTGTGATACGCATCATATGACCTCAGTGGATCGTTTCACCCCAACTTCAATGGGAGGTTATTGAACATGTTGAAAAGATTATTACACATCTGGCATGTCAAGTCCTGGATATGGAAAATGACTGTGCTATGATATACTACTCAAAAGAAGTTAAGGATCACCCAATTCTTTTCTATTACTATAGTTAATCTCTCATACCATCACAGATTAACAATAGTATTTTGAAAAATCTGCTGATCCTTAACTTCTTTTGAGTAGTATATTATCGGTGTGTTGAATGTGGGGAAAACATTGACAGTATCAGGTATTTTATCATGACACATATCATGTTATCAAACTGTGGATGGTCCAAGCCCTACTTGTTCTCGTGAAAACATCTATAAAGAAATGCATTAATATGATGAAGTTTATGTTTTCAGTGAACACCATAACATCCACAAGGTAATAATGGAAGTACAAAGCAAACCAGAATTGCTGGAAACATGTGATATCAAGAAAGAACCTGTCACTGACACAGGTGGAAACACTGACTGTGAGAGAGAATTGCTGGAAACAGGTGATCCCAAGAACCATTCTATTACTGATATAGGGGGAGACATTCACTGTGAGAGAGAGTTGATGGAAAGAGGTGATCTCAAGAACCATTCTATTACTGATATAGGGGGAGACATTCACTGTGAGAGAAAATTGCCGGAAACGGGTGATATAAAGAAATGCCGTCCAGCAAAGCAGTCTCATAAGTGTAGTGTGTGTGAGAAAACTTTTACAAAAGCAAGTAATCTACAGACACACATGAGGATTCACACTGGAATCAGGCCGTATCAGTGTGTTGAATGTGGGAAAGGATTTAAACGTTCAGGCGACTTGCAGAAACATACGAGGATTCACAGTGGAGTAAAGCCTTATAAGTGTGTTGAATGTGGGAAAGGATTTAAACAGTCAAATGGACTGCAAGCACACATGAGGATTCACAGTGGAGTAAAGCCTTATAAGTGTGTTGAATGTGGGAAAGGATTTGCACAGTCAGGTGTCTTGCAGACACACATGAGGATTCACAGTGAAGTGAAGTCTTATGAGTGTGTTGAATGTGGGAAAGGATTTAAACAGTCAAGTGGACTGCAAGCACACATGAGGATTCACAGTGGAGTCAGGCCTTATGAGTGTGTTGAATGTGGGAAAGGATTTAAACATTCAGGCGACCTGCAGACACACATGAGGATTCACAGAGGAATCAAGCCTTATCAGTGTGTTGAATGTGGGAAAGTATTTACACACTCAAGTAGCCTGCAGAAACACATGAGGATTCACAGTGAAGTGACGCCTTATCAATGTGGTGAATGTGGGAAAGGATTTAAACGTTCAGGAGGCCTGCAGAAACACATGAGTATTCACATTGGAGTCAAACCTTATCAGTGTGTTGAATGTGGGAAAGGATTTGCTCTATCAGGTGATCTGCAGAAACACACTAGGACTCACAATGAAGTCAAGCCTTATCAGTGTGATACATGTGGGAAAATGTTCACTCAGTTAGGTAACCTGCAGACACACATGAAGACTCACAGTGGAGTCAAGCCTTATAAGTGTGATGCATGTGGGAAAATGTTTACTCAACCAAGTTACCTGCAGTCACACATGAAGACTCACAGTGGAGTCAAGCCTTATCAGTGTGTTGAATGTGGGAAAGGATTTAAGCGGTCAGGTGATCTGCAGTCACACATGAAGACTCACAGTGGACTCAAGCCTTATCAGTGCGGTGAATGTGGGAAAGGATTTGCCCACTCAAGTACCCTGCAGACACACATGCAGATTCACAATGGAGTCAAGCCTTATAAGTGTGTTGAATGTGGGAAAGGATTTACACTATCAGCTAACCTGCGGACACACATGAGGATTCACAGTGGAATCAAACTATATCAGTGTGGTGAATGTGAGAAAGCTTTTAGACGGTCACATGATCTGCAGTCACACATGAAGACTCACAGTAGAGTCAAGCCTTTTCAGTGCGGTGAATGTGGGAAAGCATTTACACTATCAGCTAACATGCAGACACACATGAGGATTCACAGTGGAGTCAAGCCTTATCAGTGTGTTGTATGTGGGAAAGGATTTGCCCACTCAAGTAACCTGCAGACACACATGAAGACTCACAGTGGAGTCAAGCCTTATAAGTGTGTTGAATGTGGGAAAGGATTTGCCCACTCAAGTAACCTGCAGACACACATGAAGACTCACAGTGGAGTCAAGCCTTATAAGTGTGTTGAATGTGGGAAAGGATTTGCCCACTCAAGTAACCTGCAGACACACATGAATATCAGTGTGTAAACATGTAAAAGATGCAAATAAAAAGAAATTTTGTAACTTATCCAGTATTATTCCTTAATGCATATATTGCTTTCTTTTGACAGATGACTTGTGAAGATCCAGGATAGAATAGGTCTTCAGCAACCCAAGCTCGCCATGAAAGGTGACGATGCTTGTCATAAGAGGCGACTTACCGGCCCTGGTAGTTAGGCTTGCAGACTTGGTTGATACATGTCATTGTATCCCAACTGCGTGGATCGATGCTCATGATGTCAATCACTGGATTGTCTGGTCCGGACACATTATTTACAGACCACTGTCACCATGTTTATGGAGATCAGTCTTTGCAAGCCACTACCATGCAAAACATTGCTTTTGAGGACATAGAAAGTGTCTACAGTTTTGGCCTTCTGGTCGTCGCCAAGCAGGTCACCAATCTTGGACGCTACTAACGGCTCCAGTTTTCCAGAGCCGGTTTTACTCGCGATAATAATATAGAGAGCTCTTGCGAATAAGCTATTGCTGTGAGCAGCTTGGTTAAATGCAGCCTGCTAAATCGGAAATTCATGTGAACAATTATTCAAAAGCCAACAAGGCCTATCTGAGGATTCTAAACATTGTTAAAGTACCCTTTTGTCTACCAACTTAATGTACATTAAGTGTAATGTGTTGAAACTAAGACTCCATTCTCAAAGCGTTCCAATGTGTCATATGGAAAAGTGTGTAGCTTTGCTTGGAGTGAGTGAGTTTGATTTTATGCCGCTGTTAGCAATATTCAAGCAATATCACGGCGGGGTGACACCAGAAATGGGCTTCACACATTGTACCCATGTCGGGAATCAAACCCAGGTCTTCGGCATGATGAGCGAACGCTCTAACCACTAAGCTACCTGACCATGCTGACTGCCCCTGCTTCATGAACAAAAAAGACATTTCTTTCTGATATATGCATTTCACAATGTAATGGGTTGAAACTAAGACTCCCATGCCAAGATGTCCAAATGTGTAATATCATGAACTTGGCATGGAACTGAGCATCAATTATGCCATGGAAAGCACCTTCAGGATTACAGGAACATCATGTGCATTGAACCGTCTGAAATGACTCGAAAAGTTTTTAGATTGGATTGGATACAAAGACAAATTAAGTGGTAGGCCATTTGCCAAGAGAGTGGGGTTGGCACAAAACCTCTCAACAGATGGAATCAAGAAAATGAGTTGCTGAATGAAATGTTTGTGTAAACTACATTCCTGAATATATGTCTAGTTTTCGTTTGGAGACTTAAGAAAGTAACAGTGTTTTGTTGATGTGTCAAGGTACAACGTCTTAATAAATTTAATAGGCTATTCTCAAATGGCTGTGAATTTCTACTGATGAGGGTAAGCCAAAATGTCATGGCCAAAGAACTCAAGCTTCCATATTGGTTTCAGTTTACCACCAATGTTCTCCATAGAAATAAACTGACTGCGATCCACGAGAAATGACTATGATACTTCCAACTTTTGATGGGGATATTGAAATTATTCAGTGAGAAATTGATTTCTAATGAATTGTATACATGTAAATAGAATTAAATATCTCTGTAAAATTGAGTAGTAAGAGTCCTGTGATTTGGTCTAAAAATCATAAGAACAAGGTTGTGCATCTCCATAAATTTATTCCACATATGCACAAATAGTTTGATAATGACATAACACAACAAAATGTACCAAATAAAGTTATAATTAAAAAGCCACATTATATGACCATAATTAACAAAAAGATCCATGCAAATTTCCCTTGACCTTGTTGACAGGAAATGCAACATGATACCTACATTATTCCATAGTAACCAGAAACTAATAACACACCACTCACACACATCACATTCTGAAGTCTCTCAATCAGTCACATGATTATTAAATCAGAGACGTGTTATGTCAAGATGAAATATTTTATGTGGCAAGACTAAATGATCAGCAACACTGACTCCCTGTCAAACACCCCGCCACAAATATTCACCTCAGAACAAGCATATGAAGACATAATATGAAAAGTGTTCTCTGTTACACAAAGGGGAAATAATACAAAACAATTATCTCTTGGCCACAAAATCTTTTATATTCATAATATATTTACATCCTCATCTTTATTCTAAAACTGTAATGGTAAATTTCATACATACATGACATCATTCTGGGAAAGACATCTTTGAAGCCATGATGTGAAGACAAATGACCATTATATTCTTTGACCTCATGTAAAGCAATAGATTCGGAAACGAAGTAGCAATAATTGATTGATTTATGATCACCGAAACATAATGAATGGACAGTGACAGGCGATCAGTATCCCATGTTTCCATGTTGTCAATCTCCCATCAAGTATAACCCACATACACACACACGCTCTCGCACACACACTCACATCACCTCTCGGACTGACACACTCTGTTGATGTATTCCCACATACAACATCTCCAGCTTCATCAGACGACCTTGACCTCACTTGAACAGGAAGCTGAAATCAAAGAAATTATGGTGAGAAACATGCCAATTCATTACTCATTCACATGACCAGTAAAACAAACAGTAGGAAACACAGAGGTTATACATACAGCTTCCAAACGTCATCAGAACCTCTGTCAGTGGATTTTATTAGGCCAAGTTTGATACAATTTGGTCATCAACAAAATTAATTACAGACGTTTGAAAATCAGACACTCGTTTACAGCTTGCATAATTAGTTTGTTGTTTAACGCCACACTCGACATAATTCCAGTTATATGATGGCAGCCGGTAAATATCAAGTCTGGACCAGACATTCCAGTGATTAATATTGTGAGGAATTATCCAGGTCGTTGGGGTACGATGACACACCACCAACCATGTCACCGAGTCTGACTAGCCGATCCTTTTGGTAGCCTCTTATGACCAGCTTGGTTGACGAGGGCCTATTCTAACCCGAAATCCAAACAGGTGCCTAAATAATTTGCATGAATGTTCAAACAGACCTGTAACATACACAGGTGTCCCACAAGTTGTATCCAGTTTAATTCCAAATTACAAGCTTTGTGGCAATCTGGAATGCAGGACCATTCCATCTACTGATCTGTAGTGAAGGTCCTTATACAAAGCCCTGGATCTGAACACTGATGGAATATGCAACCTACTAACGAGCTTGTCAATGTAAGTTTATGCAGCGATAGAAACTAACATTTTTAGTCCACTAGCCTTTATAATGATAGTGAGTGAGTGAGTATGGTTTTACGCCGCTTTTAGCAATATTCCAGCAATATCACGGCGGGGGACACCAGAAATGGGCTTCACACATTGTACCCATGTCGGGAATCGAACCCGGGTCTTCGGCGTGACGAGCGAACGCTTTAACCACTGGGCTACCCGACCGCCCCTTATAATGATAACATATAGCAAAATATAATGATAACATATAGTTAAATATGTTCAATCATACTGTATAATACTGAAAGTCCAGATGTGTTTTCAATAGCATCTGGAATAACATACGATAAATGGGGGAACTATCCCCCTGGATGCCAGAGGGACATGTCCATCCTCTTCAAACCTCACTTTGAAGTCGAATAAAATTCAACATACATCACGCACACAAATAAACTTCACAGTTTTGAATTCTGAGGGACTGTTCTGTGATATCATCTTGCCATTTTTAGGCAAAGCAAAATTACTGAAAAGTAGGTACGCCGTAAATGTCACCATTGTTTACATATTACAAAATCACCATTCATACTGTTATTTACAGCATGTTTCGAAATCTAAATTTCGGATATATACTCAGAGAAATGAAATTAGCACATTCGTGATCACGGGTATCCGTCTTTTATCAAATCACCAATGATCATTCCAAAACGTCGCCGATAACCCCAGAATCGTTTAGAATGTTTTGGAAAATACGCAAACGCGAACGCCGAAGTGAACTTTCCGCAATATTGGATAGTGTTTACATTCTCACGTTTCACATATGCCGGTGAGTGTGAGTGATTTTGATTTTACGCCGCTTTAAGCAATAGTCCAGCAATATCACGGCAGGGGACACCAGAAATGGGCTTTACACATTATACCCATGTCGGGAATCGAACACGGGTCTTCGGTGTGACGAGCGAACGCTTGAACCACTAGACTACACGACCTCCCCTACGTATGCCGGTAATGAGATGCCTATATGTCAAACTCAGCTGTGATACATACTTCCCTGAATTCCTCATACATTTTACAAATGATTTGTGTCACCAATACAAAGTGTCAAGATGAAACCATGCAATATAAATTAGGTGTGAAAACGAACGGTGCGGTCGGAAAACTGCACTTGTTTGAAATGTAAACAAGGCAAAATTCATATTTTACACTGTGTAGTATTTTTTTCCGATTTTGCGCTATCCATTCGTCTATTCGTTGCATACATTAGCTCAACATTGCAGAATATTCATATTTTCAGAAAATCGTAGCAAGAATTAGGGAATTAAAAAAAAGATACATTGCAATGATTTGGCAATATCAACAGAAATATTGTCAAAGTTTCCGTGACGCCATGACTGACGTAAAATCACGCTCACAAAATCACAACGGTATTTATCGGATTCTCTGACTATTTCTCTTGGTTTCAATGAAAAACATAAAACCAAATAACAATACACAGATTGTCAGAATGGTTTTGATTACTTACATGTCACATTTATGTATCTACGGTCCCAGTATCAACGAAAGTCCCATAAAAAAAAATCCCACCCACTGTTCTCAGTGTTGGTTTGTTGTTTAACGCCGCACTCAGCAATATCCCAGCTACATGACGGCGGTCTGTAAATAATCCAGTCTGGACCAGACAATCCAGTGATTGACAGCATGAGCATCGATCCTCGCAATCGGGATCGATGACATGCATTAATTAACCAAGTCAGCGAGCCTTACCACCTGATCCCGTTTGTCGCCTTTTACGGCAAGAATGGATTGCTGAAGACCTATTCTACCCACGATCTTCACGGGTCCTGTTGTCAGTGAACAGGCCATTTTGAAAAAGTCGGTCACCGTTAGTGATGTCTATACTAAAAGAGCTTTCTTCGCATCCTTTTATTCTATCATTCTTAGGTGAGATAAAGTGAAATAATTACCGTATTCGACGTAATAAGGGCCCCGCTCTAATAAGCGCCCACGGCGAGATTTGCTGATATATTGGCTAGTGAACAATCCCACATTAGCACCCCTATTCGCATATAATACGCGCCGCTTCCTTCCCCTATTCGCGTATAATACGCACTCGTGTGTTATATGCACCCTTTATTATTGGCAATTAAATTCTGGAAACATATATCTGTCGTACATAACCATTTCAGGCTGTCAGCATAAACCACGAAATTTATCTTTCAACTGTTTTTTTCCCCACCAAAATAATATTCTAAGAAGAGCCCCCTATTTCTAATTTTGAGAGCGCCATGGGCGCTTATTACGTCTAATACGGTACATATTTTAATGAACAAAGACATGTCTAATATTGAAGATATTTTTGTTTGATAAGCCAACACTTGCTATTCATGCTACCTAACTCGAGTGTTTTAATGCCTGTGATAATGTCATGTTCTTCTAAGTCACACCAGCGTGTTCCTAATATGATTCTCCGGACCCTGTCCGACGTAAAAGTGCTCTCGCCATTGCCGCAAGACGTGGTTTCTCACCCAAAGTACTAAACTACGTAAAGTCTCGACTCGTCGCGTAACCTACTTACGATCACTGCCGCGCGAGATAAAGATATAAATATCGCGTGGCTGTGCGAGATCTGCGAAATTCGAAGGCTCGCGTCGAGTGTTTACGGACTTTATTTCATTCATCTATTTCATCCACGGTAAGTTATGTTACTTTTCTTGATTTGGCTGTAAAAGACGACAATATTAAATCATAGATATGTCAAACTTTATGTAGCTTATAAAATCTTTAAAGGGAAACTAAATCACGCACTGTCCCGAAGCACTAACACATAGAAAATGGCGGCCCCCTCGAAATCTGGAAAATAGTCATTTTCCTAGTGCATATTAGTCAAGTGAAATGTAATTAAAGTCCTTAGTTACTTGGGTGTATTAAACGATCTGTGATTCTTCCCAGTAGCTGTGAAATTTGCTTCGTAGTTTATTTTGGTACTGTGTCAAAAACGGCAATCAAAATATATCAGTAATTCACTACAAATTGCAATTCTGTTATTTCATCATGGTGATAACGCTTCATTATGCGACATCTTATGATACACTAATTTAAGTACTTAATTCCTACAAAAAGATTTCACTTGCATTTTTGCAAATAGCACTATTTTGTGCATGTAGCATGATGAATTATAATATTTTTTAATCTAACATTTTATGAAGTTTTGTCATAGACTGGACTGTCAGTGTAGGTGTCACCTCCATCGAAGCTTTCGTCAGACATTCGCTCTATGTCATAATCTGTATAGTCGCCAAGGAATAGGTCTAAATCCAAATCAGAATCGTCCCAGTGTATAAAGTCGCGAATATGATATCAAAGGAAAATGAATATGTAGGCTGATCGAGTTTGCCTTATACAAGGACATACGTCCGACAGCTAAAAGCATTGTTTACAATACAGCTGGAAGTATTTTTATTCAACATCTGTGTCTGCACGAAAACAAAGGGAACCCTTTTGTTCTCCTTCCCAGGGTTCTTTAATGATCAGGCCAAACAGCACCTGACACTGATTTTGGTCACGCCTTGGTGGTCAGCCAGAAGTTGGCTTGTCAACATGGTCAACCTCCGAAACATCACTAGAGACAACCCCCTTGAACTTCCGGCGTGGCCCAACCTTCTGCTCCACCCACACAGTTGGTTGCAACACCCAAACCCTGCATGGTTTCGTGTGCGCCTGGCACATCTGCAGAAAGCCCTAGGAGCCAAGGGCTATTCAGCTGGAGCGGTCGAGGCAATTGCATCAGTCCACCATCCATCGGGATTGTATGATGATAAATGGTGTTCATTCCAGGCATTCTGCTCAGACAAACACCGCAGTGTCACCGCAGTTCCTGGTTGAGTTCCTTCTGTACTTGCGCAGCACACGTTGGTTGAAAAGCTCTACCATCTACACATACCTGGTCGTAGACTAACATCTAGTCTCTGAAATGAACATATCGTACAGAAAAAACAGTTGTTCAGTTATCTTAATAAAAATATAATAAAAGGGAGCCCAGTGACTCTCTTCATTTTCATTAATCTAGACTTGCCAAACATTATAGACTTGCATGGGCTGTATTTGATATATATTTGTATCAGGGTCTGTAAGACAGACTAACCTGGTCGCCATTAACTCTGGCTTGCCATATCAGATGATCGGAGAATGATGAAAATTAGATCAGTTCTAGTTTTTGGCTAACTGTCTCATTCTATTTCTGTCACCTATTCAGGTTTTACTTTTTGCATCGACTCTTGTTTCCTGACATCAGGAATGGTAGAAGATGTTGACGCCAACGCTGTATGTCCAATACCCCGAGCGGGGACCGTCGATCTCTCTGATGTTTATCAACCCAGATTAGAGGGCTCTACTGCGTTCTGCATTCTCTCTTAGCATGCTTAGGTAAGTTCTAGTTTAGGCTACCCGCCTCATTCTATTTCTGTCACCTATACTCTTGTTTCCTGAAGATACACTTCTTTGAGGTGCTGATTCATCGGACCTTGACGAGGGTTTATTATGAATCACATATTAAGGTATGCCCACCGGCTATGCTGTTTGATAAAGATGCAATACAGAGTGATGCAGGATAAGTTAAATTTTTTTAGTAACATCTAAATATTTTTTTAGCATGTTTAGATTTGTATAGCTATCCTGAATTACATAGTCTAAGTGCTCTCCCTTCGGTACACTGCCTCCCCACAAAGTTTCAGATGTTATGTTTAATGCAGTTGATATGAGTTAAGTGTTTTGGTGTGACATCATGACTTCCAGGTCATGTGCCGACTGAGCGAGAGTGCTGCCTCTCCTGGTTGGAACAACTTTTCTTCAACAGCTGGATCTCACACAGTTCGTCTGTCAAAAGACAGCAGTAAATGCAATACGGAGTAATGCAGGATAAATATACAAATGTAAAAAATATTTAGATTTTACTAAAATTAACATGATTAATGAATCGAAAAAATAATAAATGTATATTAGCTTATGCACTCTCGATGACCCCTGATGTCACGGGGCATTGTTTCGCTGGTGTGACTTGCAACAAAGTACTACAAATTACGTCATAGGGTATTGTCACGTGTTTGAAAAGTCTGTGGTACTGTATTCTAAAGGTAGGCCATCTTATTTTCTCTGTATTCAGCCCGACATTTTTACAGTGTTGTAATTAATGTTTCAAGTTCACTACTAAAATAGCTGTTAAGAACATGTATCTACAGAGAGCTTTCCCTTTCTAACCTGCTCTGAAATATTTATTGTCAAGAAGTATCTATGTGATTTGACTTTAATATGCGTATCACGATACGTACTTATGTTTTGTGATACGCATCATATGACCTCAGTGGATCGTTTCACCCCAACTTCAATGGGAGGTTATTGAAAAGATAATTACACATCACACATCTTGCATGTCAACTCCTGGATATGGAAAATAACTGTGCTATGATATACTACTCAAAAGAAGTTAAGGATCACCCAATTCTTTTCTATTACTATAGTTAATCTCTCATACCATCACAGATTAACAATAGTATTTTGAAAAATCTGCTGATCCTTAACTTCTTTTGAGTAGTATATTATCGGTGTGTTGAATGTGGGGAAAACATTGACAGTATCAGGTATTTTATCATGACACATATCATGTTATCAAACTGTGGATGGTCCCAGCCCTACTTGTTCTCGTGAAAACATCTATAAAGAAATGCATTAATATGATGAAGTTTATGTTTTCAGTGAACACCATAACATCCACAAGGTAATAATGGAAGTACATAGCAAACCAGAATTGCTGGAAACATGTGATATCAAGAAAGAACCTGTTACTGACACAGGTGGAAACACTGACTGTGAGAGAGAATTGGTGGAAACAGGTGATCTCAAGAAAGAACCTGTTACTGACACGGTTGGAATCACTGACTGCGAGAGAGAATTGCTGGAAACAGGTGATCTCAAGAAAGAACCTGTTACTGACACAGGTGAAAACATGGACTGCGAGAGAGAATTGATGGAAACAGGTGATCTCAAGAAAGAACCTGTTACTGACACAGGTGAAAACACGGACTGTGAGAGAGAGTTGCTGGAAACAGGTGATATCAAGAAAGAACCTGTTACTGACACAGGTGAAAACACGGACTGCGAGAGAGAATTGATGGAAACAGGTGATCCCAAGAACCATTCTATTACTGATATAGGGGGAGACACTCACTGTGAGAGAGAATTGCTGGAAACAGGTGATATCAAGAAAGAACCTGTTACTGACACAGGTGAAAACACGGACTGCGAGAGAGAATTGATGGAAACAGGTGATATCAAGAAAGAACCTGTTACTGACACAGCTGAAAACACGGACTGCGAGAGAGAATTGATGGAAACAGGTGATATCAAGAAAGAACCTGTCACTGACACAAGTGGAAACACTGACTGTGAGAGAGAACTGGTGGAAACAGGTGATCTCAAGAAAGAACCTGTTTCTGACACAAGTGGAATCACTGACTGTAAGAGAGAATTTATGGAAACAGGTGATCTCAAGAACCATTCTATTACTGATATAGGGGGAGACACTCACTGTGAGAGAGAGTTGATGGAAACAGGTGATCTCAAGAAAGAACCTGTCACTGACACAAGTGGAATCACTGACTGTGAGAGAGAATTTATGGAAACAGGTGATCCCAAGAACCATTCTATTACTGATATAGGGGGAAATACTCTCTGTGAGAGAGAATTGCTGGAAACAGGTGATATCAAGAACCATTCTATTACTGATATAGGGGGAGACATTCACTGTGAGAGAGAGTTGATGGAAACAGGTGATATAAAGAAATGCCGTCCAGCAAAGCAGTCTCATAAGTGTAGTGTGTGTGAGAAAACATTCACAAAAGCAAGTAATCTACAGACACACATGAGGATTCACACTGGAATCAGGCCGTATCAGTGTGTTGAATGTGGGAAAGGATTTAAACGTTCAGGAGACCTGCAGAAACATACAAGGATTCACAGTGGAGTCAGGCCTTATAAGTGTGTTGAATGTGGGAAAGGATTTGCACAGTCAGGTGTCTTGCAGACACACATGAGGATTCACAGTGAAGTAAAGTCTTATCAGTGTGTTGAATGTGGGAAAGGATTTAAACAGTCAAGTGGACTGCAAGCACACATGAGAATTCACAGTGGAGTCAGGCCTTATCAGTGTGTTGAATGTGGGAAAGGATTTAAACGTTCAGGTGACCTGCAGACACACATGAGGATTCACAGTGGAATCAAGCCTTATCAGTGTGTTGAATGTGGGAAAGTATTTACACACTCAAGTAGCCTGCAGAAACACATGAGGATTCACAGTGAAGTGACGCCTTATCAATGTGGTGAATGTGGGAAAGGATTTAAGCGTTCAGGTGACCTGCAGAAACACATGAGTATTCACACTGGAGTCAAACCTTATCAGTGTGTTGAATGTGGGAAAGGATTTGCTCTATCAGGTGATCTGCAGAAACACACTAGGACTCACAATGAAGTCAAGCCTTATCAGTGTGATACATGTGGGAAAATGTTCACTCAGTTAGGTAACCTGCAAACACACATGAAGACTCACAGTGGAGTCAAGCCTCATCAGTGTGATGCATGTGGGAAAATGTTTACTCAACCAAGTTACCTGCAGTCACACATGAAGACTCACAGTGGAGTCAAGCCTTATCAGTGTGTTGAATGTGGGAAAGGATTTAAGCGGTCAGGTGATCTGCAGTCACATATGAAGACTCACAGTGGAGTCAAGCCTTATCAGTGTGTTGAATGTGGGAAAGGATTTACACTATCAGCTAACCTGCAGACACACATGAGAATTCACAGTGGAATCAAACCATATCAGTGTGGTGAATGTGAGAAAGCTTTTAGACGGTCACGTGATCTGCAGTCACACATGAAGACTCACAGTGGAGTCAAGCCTTAATATCAGTGTGTTTTATGTGGGAAAGGATTTACACAATCAGTTCACCTGCAGTCACATATGAGGATTCACAGTGTAGAGCTAGATTTAGCAACATTAAACATGTAAAAGATGCACCAGTGCAACCTATTATTGAAAGTGCAACCTAATATTTATTTCTAAGTCCATGTAAAAAAAAATCAATTTGTGTCTAACTAACCCTTACTTTTCCACACAACAACGATCTTTGAACACAGTGAATACTTCTAAGCTTTATGGACCATACTACATCATTAATCCCTGGGTCATGTGTAATTTGTCATCCCTTCTTGGGCTTGACATCATCAAACTGTGGGTACTTATGTGCACATCTTATTATGTTTTACAGCAATATTTATGTAAAATCAGGAAAATCATCAGAGATATGAGATGTACTTACTCAGTTTATGCATCTATGTTTTATCTTTGATAAATATATTGGGCAAGAGTGCAATACCAAATGTGGTGCAACTAGGTTTTCATGTCAGCATGCACCTGGTGCAAATAAAAAGAACTTTTGTAACTTATCCTGTATTATTCCTTAATGCATATACTGCTTTCTTTTGACAGATGACTTGTGAAGATCCAGGGTAGAATAGGTCTTCAGCAACCCATGCTCGCCATGAAAGGTGAAGATGTTTGTCATAAGAGGCGACTAACGGGCTCTGGTGGTTAGGCTTGCAGACTTGGTTGATACATGTCATTGTATTCCAACTGCGTGGGTCGATGCTCATGATGTCAATCACTGGATTATCTGGTCCAGACACATTATTTACAGACCACCGTCACCGTGATTTTGGAGATCATTCTTTGCAAGCCACTACCTGCAAAACATGGCTTTTGAGGACATAGAAGGTGTCTACAGTTTTGGCCTTTTGGTCGTCGCTAAGCAGGTCACCACTAACGGCTCCAGTTTTCCAGAGCCATTTTTACTCGCGGTAAAAGTAAAAAGAGCTCTTGCAAATAAGCTATTGCTTTGAGCAGCTTGCTTAAATGCAGCCAGCTAAATAGGAAATTTGTGTGAACAATTACTCAAAAGCCAACAAAGCTTATCTGAGGATTCTAAACATTGTTAAAGTACCTTTGTGTCTTACCAACTTAATGTACATTAAGTGTAATGTGTTGAAACTAAGACTCCATTCTCAAAGCGTTCCAATGTGTCATATCATGGAAAAGTGTGTAGCTTCGCTTGGAGTGAGTGAGTTTGATTTTATGACGCTGTTAGCAATATTACGGCGGGGGAATGAAAATGTTTGTGTAAACTACATTGCTGAATAAATGTCAAGGGTTTTTTTTGAGACGTAAGATAGTAACATTGTTTTGGTGATGTGTCAAGGTACAACATCTTAATAAATTTAATAGGCTATTCTCAAATGGCTGTGAAGTTCTGGTGCTGAGGGTAGGCCAAAATGTCGTGGCCAAAGAACTCAAGCTGCCATATTGTTTTCAGTACACCACCAATGTTCTTCATAGAAATAAACAGACGGCAATCCACGAGAAATGGCTATGATACTTCCAGCTTTTGATGGTGATATTCAAATTATTCAGTGAGAAATTAATTTCTAATGATTTGAATACATGTAAATAGAATTAAATCTGTAAAATTGAGTAGTAAGAGTCCTAATTCCCTCTCAACAGCGAGCTTGATCAGTCATGGTTGGCAGTTTCAATAACACATTGATCAATGCATCCAGTGCAGTATAACCTGTGATTTGGTCTAAAAATCATAAGAAAAAGGTTGTGCATCTCAATAAATTTATTCCACATATGCACAAATAGTTTGATAATGACATAACACAACAAAATGTACCAAATAAAGTTATAATTAAAAAGCCACATTATATGACTATAATTAACAAAAAAGATCCATGCAAATTTCCCTTGACCATGTTGACAGGAAATGCAACATGATACCTACATTATTCCATAGTAACCAGAAACTAATAACACACCACTCACACCCATCACATTCTGAAGTCTCTCACTCAGTCACATGATTATTAAATCTGAGACGTGTTATGTCAACATGAAATATTTTATGTGGCAAGACTAAATGATCAGCAACACTGACTCCCTGTCAAACACCCTGCCACAAATATTCACCTCAGAACAAGCATATGAAGACAAAATATGAAAAGTGTTCTCTGTTACACAAAGGGGAAATAATACAAAACAATTATCTGGTCACAAAATCTTTTATATTCATAATACATTTACATCCTCATCTTTATTCCAAAACTGTGGATATAGTTGTAAATTTCATACATACATGGCATTCTGGGAATGGCATCTTTGAAGCCATGATGTGAAGACAAATGACCATTATGTTCTTTGACATCATGTAAAGCAATAGATTCAGAAAAAAAGTAGCAATAATTGATTGATTTATGATCACCGAAACATAATGCATGGACAGTGACAGGCGATCAGTATCCCATGTTTCCATGTAGTCAATCTCCCCTCAAGTATAACCCAAATACACACACACAAACGCTCTCACACACACTCTGTTGATGTATTCCCACATACAACATCTCCTGCTACATCAGACGGCCTTGACCTCACTTGAACAGGAAGCTGAAATCAAAGAAATTATGGTGAGAAATATGCCAATTCATTACTCATTCACATGACCAGTAAAACAAACAGTAGTAAACAAAGGTTATACATACAGCTTCCCAACGTCATCAGAACCAATGTCAGTTGATTTTATTAGGCCAAGTTTGTTGGTCATCAACAAAATGAATTGCAGACGTTTGAGAATCAGACACTCTTGCATAATAAGTTTGTTTAACGCCACACCCAAATAATTCCAGCTACCGGTATATGATGGCAGCCTGTAAATAATCAAGTCTGGACCAGACATTCCAGTGATTAATATTGTGAGGAACGATCCAGGTCGCCGGGGTACGATGACACACCACCAACCAAGTCACAAAGTCTGACTAGCCGATCCTTTTGGTAGCCCTTAAGACCAGCTTGGTTGACGAGGGCCTATTCTAACCCGAAATCCAAACAGGTGCCTAAATAATTTGCATGAATGTTCAAATAGACCTGTAGCTGTAACATACACAGGTGTCCCACAAGTTGTATGCAGTTTAATTCCAAATTACAAGCTTTGTGGCAATCTGGAATGCAGGACTGATCTACTGATCTGTAGTGAAGGTCCTTATACAAAGCCCTTGATCTGAACACTGATGGAATATGCAACCTACTAAGGAGCTTGTCAAGGAAAGACAGATAGAGAGATAGGCCATAACACAAATAAATCTGGTAGGAAATCCAGTGGTGAGCTGCATGATCAACATCATCGGGCAGGTGACACACTGTAGCCACCGGGTTACTCAGTTACTGTAACATACGCAGAGTACTCGAATCTACCCTGGAACATCCATGGGGAGGCAAATGACTTACCTGTACGGGTAGCCCTGGTACTTGGATCGGAACACAGAGAGGAGGAGGCTGAAGAATATTGCCACACATCCTAGACCGACCAGAGCCAAGACTACAACAAGAAAATGAACAAAACTCATCAACAAGAAGAGTCATAAACATGAGACAAGTAATTGGTGGCAATAATCAAGTCTGTCGGTGTATAATATATCTTGTTATTTATCATTCCACTCAGCACTGTTCCAGCTGTATGATGGCTGCCTGTACATAATCAAGTCTGGACCAGACAATCAAGTTATTGATTTTATTGGCAACAATGACAGGTATTCAACCAAGTCAGTGAGTCTGACAACCCAATCCTTATGTCACTTGTTACGACCAGCATTGATTATTGGAGACCTATTCTAAGCCAGAGTCCCCTGGTTGAGACAAGCACAGTTGGTCACACACATTCAAGTGTACACAGATCCATCAACAGGGGTAATAATGAGCTATCAGCATATTGCAGTGTGATTACACTATTTCCCCAACTTTTAGTCAGTTGAGCTAAAAAGGCATCACCAAAGAGAACAAGTCATTTTTGTTTTATCAGTCCTAACTTGTAGTGAGTGAGTGAGTTGGGTTTAACGCCACTTTTAACAGTATTCCAGTTATATTGCGGCATGTCAGCTTAATGTGGGAGGAAAGCCCGACGTGATGCAGGTCTCAGATGTTTACTACTTCGGTGAAACCCACGAGCACGGGTATGGTGCTGACAAACCTAGAAACATAATCGGGGTGAACCGGGATTCGAACCCACAATCATAGGTTTCTGGTGGGCCCAAGGGACGCAACTCTACACAGCGAATCGCTGGGCCACCCGTGCCCCCTCCTAACTTGTAATGTTCTTACAATTCCTCCCTACGACAGGTAAAAACACAACTTACTCCGCTTCTTCCCGGGGTCCCCCTTGAGAGAGTGAGCTTCGTTCATCAGGATGAAGCCGAACACGACAGCAGTGTCTGGGCAAGGTCAAGGTCATCTCACAATCACTTTGATGTGTCACCTCACAAAAGATGCAACATATACACAACAGCCTCAAAATATGTTTATTGAATTATTATGTACCCATTTTTCTTACGCAAGGATTCCTTCAAATCTCATTAAATCAGATGTTGATTCTTTCTGCAGCTGAACAAAGATCTGAGGACATTGCATTACAGGTCACGTCAGACTGACCTTTTACAAACTTTGACAGAACAATGAATTGATCAACAAGAAGTTGACATTAGCCAATCAGAAAGCAGTTTTCTCTAGTTTTCCTTCACTGCTTGATTGATCAGTATTTCAGCTATATCACAGTGTCTTAGCTTGAAGTGATGCAGGTCTCAGCCATCGCTCACTTTGATGAAAGTGTTTCAATAAACTACCTAGAATAAATGCATGTGGGAGTATAGGTTATAAAAAATGGCCCATCTGGCAACTGATTTTAAATAATCAAAGGCCCTCTGGCCTTGCGTTGGCCATGGACCTTAGGGCCATCAGTTAAGTGGCAGCCCATACAGGTACGTGAGTAGCTTGGCGGAAGGATACTGAGAAGCATGACGATGTAGGTCTCCATGATGAACTGGCCTTGACTGCTGCCGTGGATGTAGTGCTTAAACATACAGTAACCATGGTAACAAAACACTGATTACTGGAGACACAAAAGCGTGAGTGAGTTTGTCTTAATGCCACTTTGAAAACTATTTTAGTGATATCACAGCATGTCAGCTTGATGCAAAATGAAAGATAAAAGTGATAAATTAAAGTAGATAAATATCTCTAATAGAGAGTCTGTTTGAACAAGAATCCTATTTGTGCCAACACAAACATAGATCTACACATGAATATGTTATAATCAATAGCGTTTAGACATGTACATGGTACACATTCTTACAGTTGTACGAGTGAGTGAGTTGGGTTTAATGCTGCCATCAACAGTATTTCTGTTATATGACTGCATGTCAGCTTAATGTGGAAGGAAAGCCCGAAATGATGAATGGCATTTACAACCCACAAGCACAGGTATGGTGCTTACAATCCAAGAAACATAACCAAGACAAACCAGGATTTGAACCAGGATTATAGGTTTCTGGCATGCCCAAGGGACACAACTCTCTGCAGAGCGAATTGTGTCATCTTGGACATGTCAGATGACTGGGCCACCTGTACTCCCATTTTTCAGATGTGATTCGTGTAGCAAATGTATTGATAAATTTAATTATTAGTTTCTTGCACTAATGGGTAAACATACTAAATGCTAGTTCATCCATATAAGCAAAAACAAGCTTAAGTGTTATGATGACCATACTCTACAGGCATGTGATTGAAAAATGACAAAATCAGACTGAAAAGCATTAAAGAAAATCCAAAGATACATATTCAACATTAAACATCATAATCAAGAAGATGAAATTTTGACTTTAGACGGAAATATTACATGCCTATATTTAGCCAAATTGTCATAAAAATGTAGAGGAAGTACTTCGACCACAGTCATGATGAATACCAACTGAGTTGACTAAATTTGCACAACATATATTAGTCAACCCTGACACACAACACACAAAGCCAAGAGGAATTTACATGCATGGTGTATCTACTTGCAAAGATACTATACTATAAGCTGTAAGACAGCTATAAAACTCACTGTAGGAATGTGCCGCATCTAATTCTTACAAGAATATCAGGCCTAAAGGTTCAAAAACAGAAACTATTCAACAATAATGCTTATCATCTTCCTGAGGCAAAAGAGTTAACTGACTATAAAAGTTCAGTTTCCACCCTTGCCGAACTAGGCTGGTATTATGGAGTTACATTTTGGCTGAACTAACGAGTCTATGCATAGTCCAATCAAAATTGCGCACCGAATTCGAAATCCCGTTCGTAAACGGTCGAGCAGATTTCAATCGATTGCAGTATTTGCAAGCATGTGCACCGCCAACTCGTTGTCAGCAGATATTTTCCAAATCTTTTGATGTTTTTAATCAAAGTGCTCATGTGATTTGATGCATTTCGCGATGTAAGACCCGTTTTATCACAATATAGATCTTGATTATCGATCAGATCATCCTGACTTGGGTGCCACCATTTTGTGTGAAGCAAACGCAAGTGATACGAGAGGTGGAATCTGATTGGTCCATAGGAGAGGCTTAGAAGGGACATAACTGGTAATAGCCACTGGTGGCGCTACGATCGAGCCCAGTAATTCCAGCCTAGTTCGGCAAGGGTGGAAACTGGACTTTTAAAGTCAGTTAACTCTCTTGCCTCGGGAAGATGAATGCTTATCAGTAGTAAACTAAGATGTTCAGACACCTACTACTTTTCAGATTTCATTGTTAATTTTGCCTAAAATGTTTAACATAACTCCACTTACCTTTTCCATTTATAATATTTAATCAATTTTATTTTCAACCAAAATGTATGCTGGGTATAGTTCTGTTTTTATTTTATTTTATTACTAAAAGGAGATTGAATTCATTGTCAACAAAAAACAGTTACAAGTGAGTCAAAATTTAACAAAGTATCAGCAATATCTCAGTTGCCATGGCTACAAGTAGATACACAAGCAGTAAGCCAGTATCCTCCCTCCTATTCTGACAAGCAAACACAGCTATTATCTTAAGCCCAGAAACAGGGAGGTCCGGACAAGAGGAGAGACTTGAACATGATACAAACCTCCCAGGAAAACTGGTGTCAAATTTAAAACAATGTTTTCATCAAACATGCAAAGAAATGCAGATGGTAAGCAATAAATAAGAATTATTACATGTCCACAATGTAAGATATGAGTGCAAAAAAGTACAATTAGTCTTTAAAAAAATATAAAAATTGGTTCTCCGGCAATGACTTCTGAAAATATAGTGCGGGCGGGCGGGCGGTGTTCCTTGTTCAAACCAGTATGTAAATAAATTCGGGAAAGGGCCTCCCTACATTAACAAGCCTACAATCTGCTATTGCCGCCATGACCATAACACGAGAAGTGCAGTAAAGCAGTGCGCATGTAAAGGGAAGTAACTGCGTGCTACATATCTTTTTTCAGTATTAGGATTTTTCAACAGAATTTTTAAAATTGAAATAAAAACGAAAAGTGAGGCAGACTTTATGATGATGTGGGTGGTGCCTGAGAACCAAGACTAATATTTTTTTTAGCCTTACACATTAATGTCTCTAAACGGACATGATGTTGTTTTGAGTGCAGCACATGCAACATATAGAAATAAACCAGACAAATTATCTATCACACGTACAAACAGAAAACGGCTGTCAGGATAATAATTTTATAGACAAGACTAAAGCATGTGTGAAATTTATGAGAAAAAAAAACATTATTAACTACTCACCATAGCCCCAGTGTGGGGGTTGCGGTGCATGAGAGGGGGGCCACGGATGTGGTTCCACATCTGTCCTGATGTCATGGCAAATATCACAGCCTGGAGATAGAGATAAACACCTTTGTAATCATATCAAGAGTGAGTGAGTAGGTAGAACGCCGCTTCAAACAGTATTTCAGTTATATCATGGCATGTCAGCATGATGTGGCAGAAACCCAAAGTGATGCAGGTCACGCTGGTGAAACTGACGAGTATGGGTATGGTGCTGACAAAATCCTAATCAGGAAAGCATAACATAATATGACTGTAAAGATGGAAACAAACCACCAACTGTTAAATCTGCCATCTTCAAATCTTCAACACATGCTTAATGGGGGGGGGGGGGGCTTGATTCAAACAATAATACAGTAACCTGATGGCCCCCCCTCCCCCCAAACACCCATCCCCCTGACACACCCGTTCCCTACAAACAAACGATGCCTCCAGCAACATACCAAAGCTCCAATTCCCCAGGACGTCTTGTTGTACAGGAACTCGAGGTTGTTGCGCTTCAGATACAGCAGTCCTCCAATCAGGGAGAAGAGGAGGGCCAAGGCCAGTGTACCGGAGTAATTCGGAGGACGGAATACACGGATCTGAAACAAAGCAGTTAATGTAAACTTGCCTACTTGTCAATGCACTCCTTAGATGAGAGGATCATCCATTGTACTTTCTTTCATATTGTAATAACACAATTATGCATTCTATAGATCTTGCGATTTCTTCTGCTTATAACACGACATTTATAACTGCTACCTGTATATCTGTTCTCTCACCAACCCATCTTGCGATCTGTTCTGTTTATAACACAACATTTATAACTGGTAACTGTATATCCGTTCTTTCACCAACCCATCTTGCGATCCGTTCTGTTTATAACACAACATTTATAAATGGTACCTGTATATCCGTTCTTTCACCAACCTATCTTGCGATCTGTTCTGTTTATAACACGACATTATAACTGGCAACTGTTTATAAGTTCTTTCACCAACCCATCTTGCGATCTGTTCTGTTAATAACACGACATATATAACTGGTACCTGTATATCCGTTCTTTCACCAACCCATCTTGCGATCTGTTCTGCAGCAAACCCAACCCTGGAACAAACAAGTTACACATGATACAAAACTACAAATTACCATGAAAATGAACATTTCGGGATAAATGCAACATCTTTATGCTTACCTAACCTTACATAGTGCTTTAGCTTCCCTATCTTTCACAGACAGACAGTACTGGAACAGACAGACAGTTGAAACAGACGCTAGCCCATGCCTGATATCCCGGAGTTATCCACCTTGACCCGTATCCCCATATTCTTCACTGTATGGCTGCAAGTGGAGCATAGACAGTAGTGCCAGATTTGTAAGGCGGAGGAGTTGGATGAAGTATGGGTTGGCCTAAAGGTGGTACGTCAGGTATAAAAACACTGTATTTATCCAAAAATGCTCATTTTTTACCTTACTTGTTACGCTACAAAGTGCTTTATTCGACGGACATGGAAGGCAGGCTTACTGTGATAAGCGCCAGTCACACTGAGGAAGCACAGTGTCAGACAAGGACCCTTCCAGGAGGCAGCGAGGCTCCATCCTCGTCAGGCTACGGGATATCACGCAGGTCAAGCCCTCTTGGAACAGAACAGTGGTCCGAAGGTAGAGGGAACAATGGGCCAAAGCTCTGGAGAGAGGGGGAATACAGTACCAATATTTAGCCAGGTACCAATTACCAGTACCCAGCACGCCAGAAAGTTTATAGAGGATAATCCGGATTGAAATGTTGGTGTTGAGGGCCATCATGGATGACAGCACACGGATCTCATGTGGGTTGTTTGCCGACGGGGGTGCCCCATGATATGCACAAGTATAGCCGATTGAAGCCAATTGGAAACTTGTTACGGATCACCTCCATGGAGACACAGCTAGAACTAGGAAGGAACAACCACTGGTGCTGTCATCGATGCTGCTGGAACACCTAAAGTTATCGATGGAAGGCCCTAACAGGACATAATGTGAGTTCCATGTCATCATCTGAGCGACAATCTCCAAACATTTTGGGATTTGAAATTGACGATCAGATTTTCCCTGATGTTGATTCATAGCGACAAAGTCCCAAAAAATACCAATGTGGATCAGGCTGTGAGGTCGCTGATCGAAGCAGACTCGGGTGACATCCACAGGTCTTGAAGTTCACTATACCTGGCCACCGTGGCAAGCACCATGAGAAAATAAGTCTTAATGGCGAGTTCTACAAAGAGGGAAAAGTCAGAGGATCATAAAGGCACCTGAAGTAAGTCTCGCAAAACAACATTGAGGTCCTAAGCTGATCTTCCAGCCTAACACCCGGTCAGTGACGATGAGTTCAGGCACTGAGGCCAGACAGGAACCACAAGCGATCTTCAATACAGAGTTGAGAGCCACAAGGTACGTTGCAATAGTGGAGCTAGGAAGGTGAGGGGAATGGCTTGAAATAACAAGAACGTGAGCCAGTTGTCATCATAGAGGGAATGAGTTGAGGAATGATGAGTCTTGGAGACAGCTTCCGCAGCTCGGGCTGAGAACACCTTCGCCCTCAGTGACTTTTGGAGTCATGCCATGGCCCAGATCTGAACAGGGAGTTCATTGGTCAGAAGAAGCAGACGAAAGGTCTTCTCTAGCAGAGAAGCAGACTTCAAGCCATTCTTGTTGATGTAGCACACCACAGTGGAGTTGTCTGAGGCAAACAGGAGACAGCTGATGTGGAGGATTGCCTCAAAGCTAGTGATAGAGGTACCACTTAACATGCTTAAGACATTCGATGAGGCTAGCCATCACTGGATGCTGTATTAAAAAAGGTGAACCATGCACAAACCAGAGCTGGTAGAGTGGCTGGTAGACAACAAAGACATATTACACCTAAATGATAGAAATATATCAACAGAAGGTCATTTACAATAAGAGAGACTTACCAACAGTTAATCAAACGGTAACAAATTGACATCAGCACGTACAACTTGTAAACACAAGACACATGAAGAGTAAGATGGTGACCAAGGTGCGAAACGTGCTGAGGTACGTGGTCACCAGAAAAAATGAACACAATTATAGACCTCAAATGGATATAAATATATATATCAGGGAAAAGATATATGCCAGTAATGCCACCAGAAAATGTCAAAAACGGATGAAAATCGGTAAGATGACTGTTCCAAAATATATGTCTGTGGTAAGGCTGACAGTGAAGACTATGAGGTGATACGGGCCAAGGTGGATAACTCCAGGGTATCAGGCACGTGCTATAGTCTGTTTCAATGTCTCTCTGTTCCAGTACTGTCTGTTTGTAAAAGGTGGGGAAGCTAAAGCACTATGTAGCATCAGCTAAGGTAAAACATGAAACATCTGTAATTGGTCTTAGTCCCTAATAAGAATAATCACAACTGTAATTGAAATGATCCCATTTGGGCCTGACATGGAATCCCAAACACAGGAATGAGATACCTATAGCTTCTAGGTTTATCACAGATAAAGTAAACATACAGGGAACAGGATACCCTCCAACATGAGGGTTTGACCCTGGTCCATGACTTTGTTTGTTTGTTGTTTCAGGACACACTCGGCAGCATTCCAGCTATGTGACAGCAGCCTGCTTAATCAAGACTGGACCATACAATCCAGTGAATTAAATAATGGGGTACAACCCATGCCATCGGGGTACAATGACAAGTGATGAAGTCACTGAGTCTGACCACCAGATCCAATAAGTCGCTGCCCCGCACGAAATGCTTAGGTTGCTGGAGACCAATTCGAACCCAGAAACACTATGGTGTCCAGAACACAGAAATTGTTTTGGCGCTATTAGTTATACTGCTTAATGTTGTAAATAATTAACTTCCAGGTACAACTGGTGCTAAGAGAATTGTGAACATCTGAGTTCTAGCCTCATGGTGTCGACTTACTGTTCACCCAGCAGTGAATGGGTACCTGGTACGATGAGATGGCAATACGGTTGTTAACTTTCCAGCACCTGACAGGTAGCTTGGATTGTATACTCCCTAGGGAGTTGAGAATGATAGTTGAGTGCACACTGATCGATTGACCTGGGTAATGTTATAATAGTATAGCACTTTGAGCCTGCCCTTGTGGTATGGATATAGCGCAACATAAACAGTCCTATTATTATTAATTATTATTATTATTATTATTTTTAATATTATTATTATTATCCTTGAACATGATGTTGACCCTATGCGTACCTGTTGATGTCTAGAGAGTCTCCCTTCTTGGGCTTGCCCTTGGGAGGGAAGTGCATAAACACCGGAGCAGTGTTCAGCTTCAACTGAAAGGTTGACAGATATAAGAGTAAGAGAGTATGATATAAATGAGCAAATTAAAAATTACTTTTTTTTAAACTTTGAAGAGTCATTTAATTTAGTGCAGATCCAATGGACTTCAGAGTTGTTAGTAAATGCAGAGGCATAAATTGTATTTGTGGTTTTATATCTATATCAACATAATTATGACTATATCACCTATATAATGTGCACCAATGATATGTTATAAATGAAATGGTAGCAGAAGCTATGCAACACTCACATTCTGGAACACATCTGGTCCCTCGTCGTAGTCAACAAGAGCAAAGAAGAGTTTGTTGGAGAACTGCTGGGAATAGCGCCACGAGTTGGCCAGGATGGTGTATTCCTCGTTGGCCTGTCTGGAACACAACAAACATTTTCACAATACAGTGTTTGCGTTACGCATTAAAATCATATAAACGCGCAAAAAATATTGTTTTGCATGCACAGATTGTGATATACTTAATTTTGTATTAATACCATAAAATAAAAAACTATTCAAAGCTGATAGCCTGCTTACGATGTTCAGACGAAAATAATTCAAAACCTGGAAATTCCTATTGCTAAAAATAGAATATGGCCAGATGGCGCTTTGAATCGTGCCCTTTATATTTCCATATATAGTCTTTGGTTACTATCGATGGAATTCCCCAGAAGTCGTTCGTTTCATCCAATCAGAGCCCAGCTTACAAGTAATAGTCGGTAATACGAACGATCATAAACAGAGCGATGGAAGAAAACTTCCACACATGGGCATGTGCTAACAACAGTCATATTCATTTTATTGATGATTGAACGTTCATTATATCAAAACTGCACCGTAAGTTAAAGCTTGGTCATAATTATTAGCTGTACTAGTACTGATTTTATTGAAATAAAAACTTCACACGCGAAATATTTGAATTGAAAATTTATTATTTCATTTCTGAAGCACTGTACAAAAATCTACCGCGAACACTGCAATAGTCACTAGATCTAAACAGATCTTGATTTCTGTTCTGCATGAGTGAGTATACCACAACATTGGATACCAGACATGGACGTGTCCCCTATCCTGATATTGCTGGAACATTGCTGGAACATTGCTGGAATATTGCAGGAATATTGCTCAAAGTGGCATAAAACCAATCCATGCTCACAATCACCTCAGAAAAGTCAATTTTTAGTATGCAATATTTTGCTGTACACACTAATTTGCAATACAAATACTAGAATACATTGCAACAGAACAAGGCATGAAACTACTGTAATCAGACATTATTACTAGGGCTGGGACGGGTAACTCAGGTACTCGGGTCGGGTGGGTACTGAATGGGCACTAATTTTCGCAGTTCTTTCTTATTACCACACCCATTCCTTCTGACTTTATGTTTGAATATAAATAAAACTTCAGTCAACTTCAGTGTATGCATGACCAGATGGTTTCATACATGTATCTAAACACGTTTTGCCAGGGATACGGTCAAACTTTTCCCAATGGGACAGTTTTTGCCTACCTCTTGAGAACTACAGCGATACCCGGGTAGGGTAGGTAATAGGTGGGTGGGTACCCGGGTAGTAAATTTGGACTCGTCCCAGCCCTAATTATCACTCAAAATATCATACTCATCAAATTCATTTCATGAGAGATACAGAAACCAATCGATCATTGTCAATGAAATTGATTATTGTTTGTTTGTTGTTTGACATCACATTCAACAATATGACGGTGGTCTGTAAATAAGTCTGGACCAGACAATCCAGTGATTGACATCAAGAACATCGATCGATGCAACTGAGATACGATGAGATGCATCAAGTCAGATGTGTATGTGAAACATGTGCATTCATACTAGTAATATAGCCACACGGTGTCACTATTTACAAAATAGGGAGATAAAACTCAATATAAGCAGAAGCAATTACTTTGCTTGCGTTTGAATAGTTTCAAATGAAAAAAACTCGTAAGATGTTAAACTATGTCCAGTCAAAGCTCCACACATTCATAAATTTCATCATGTTACCATACATCATTAACTTGCAGAAAGATAATGTGGCGTTTCAAGTTCTGAAGAAGTATCAGTGTACATGCAATTAGTTTCTTGTTGGATGCATCACGTGACTAGCGGCGTAATGGTTGGCATCTCTGCCTTATCTCGATAGTCGCCTCTTATTACATTGCTTAAGACCAATTCTAACCCGGATCTTCACAAGAAATGAAATCGATATAATACCAGTCCTCCAGTGCTCAAACTGCCTTTTGAAAGAGTTTCTGCATCACTCTCAGGTAGACTCACCTGCACACGGAGCACTGCCTCTGTGCCTGCAGGGCTGTCAGCATCACAATCATGGAATAGTTCCTGGGTGCTGTCTTCACATACTGACGAAACTTGTCACCAGTCAAGCGTATAACAGATTTTTTCAGATTCCATTCAGTCAGCTGTTGAACTTTATCACCAACTGATTCCTAAAAAAAATACATTCCTTCTAAGTTTCATGAACACAACGATAATAAACAAGGGTGAAAACACTTAACAACTTAAAAGTCCAGTTTCCACCCTTGCCAAACTAGGCTAGAATTTCTGATCTGAAAGGGGCACCTTACCCTAATGATCGTAAAGGAGTGATCAGTAAGAGGATCCAAGGGCTAAGGATTAGTTTTGGGTAATCTACCCTGACCCTAATAAAACTAGCCCTCAGCCTAAGCCTTATGATCGAAGAGACACGCGAGGTCTCCGTGAAGCGAGAGCCAGTCGGCAGCCTGAGCCAATTAGCGCTACAGTAAGCTGCGCCCAGTAAACTGCATTGTTACCAATGCATTATATGGGCCGTTTAGATGCATATATCCATATATATGATACAGTTCGGTCTAAATTATTTTATCTAAATTATTTCCTTCATGGTGCGGTCGAGTGTGCGCGAAATCTGAAGGTATAGTCAGTCAATTTGTTTGCACCACCAACTGGTAGCAGGTGCTTTATGACGATAACTCTGCATTTTCTTTATGCGTTCTACATCTGCATGTGCAATGCACGTACCTCTTTCTTCTTGTAGTTTTGTCCTACAGTTGTCAAACAAATAGAAAATAACACCAAAATGCCAAAGCTTGCCCTGGCCTCCATGTTGCCGGCGGATGTTGACGTGGATAAGACAATGGATGCCATTGGATAAAACTTCGACCCAATCGGTGCTTGCGTTATATTTCTAGGTTGTGCCCAAGTCGAAACTTCACTTACTTTTCATTTTATACCTTCTAAAAGTTACTTGAAATATTTGTTGTATTGGTCTTCAATAAGTAAGACAGTTTCTTGATATATGCTGTTTCTTTAATTTCCCTAGGGATAATATATTGTTATTTTCGAAAAGAAGTTTCTTAAACAGAAAAGGTTACTTATTTTTTGGGCATATTTTGAGAATACGAGCTTTGGGAAATACGAATGATAGGTCTCGGCTCTCAAATGAATTCATTTTGTAAGTTCCGAGTCTTGGTGATGAACTGGAATGCAGGAAGCTCAGATGATCCGTAATTCCGAGTTATGAGTAGGGTATTCTCTCTATTAATTACTCATTGCCTCAGAAATATTGATTTCTTGATCTCTTTCCTGTCAAATCAGCTCAGTTGTCCTATTGTTTGAAAGCCGTCACATAAGTCGTTTGTGACGTCATGTACAATACATGACATCTTAAATTATTTGCGACAAGGCATCACGTTGCTAGGGACCTCTTCGCAAACAATGAAAACGATGAAACAATTGTAACGAACTAGCCAATCAGCAACAAGCAAACATAATACCGCTCAGGGAGAATTACAGAAAATAAGTTTACTTCTCGATGTGTAACCTGGGCCTATGACCCATATTACTTCTGAATAAACTATTACAAACCTACCCATGGATTTTGGTTCGTTATCATGGATCACACTAATAGTTTCAAAACATCTTGATGTATGACTATAACGGCTTTGAGAAGATATTTGAAGACGTTCAGAAACTATACTTTCAAACGGGTAGGGTTTTCGTTGACCTTAATAAATTAATACCGTTCATGCTTTCGTGACATTTCATATATTAGAATGGGGGAAGTGGAGTAGCCTGGTGGTTAAAGCGTTCGCTCATCACACCGAAAGCCCGGATTCGATTCCCCACACCGGTACCATGGTGTACCCCGGCATGGTATAGCGGGAATATTGCTAAACGCGGCGTAAAACCGTACTCACCCATGTTTGTGTGAAGGAGTGAATATTGTGACATGCCACGACTTCACTAACAAATTCACTCATCAGGGGTCAACATTCACTGGGATTTGTGTGTTGATTTACGCCGCAGTCAGCAATATTCCAGCTCTATCACACCGGCTGGTATATAGTCGAGTTAGACAAACCAGTCATTGAATAACGTACGGCCATGCCGTCAGGGTACGATGACACACAGTTAACAAAGTCACTTGCAAGAAGACAGCAGTTTTTAACGTAATCAATTCTGAGTGAGTGAGTGAATGTTGTTTTATGCCACAGTCATTCATAATCAAGCGATATTACAGCTAGTAGCATATCCACGTTAGTCTAGACCAAGGAAACCCATGAAGATCTGGGTTAGAATAGGTCTTCAGCAACCCATGCTTGTCGTATTTAAGCGAATATGCTTTGCTTGTCGTAAGAGGCGACTAACGGGACCGGATGGCCAGGCTCGATCGCTGACTCGGTTGATGCATGTCATCGTATCCCAATTGCGTGGATCTATGCTCATGATATCAATCACTGAATTGTGTGGACCAGACTCGATTATTCAGTAACCGCCGACATAATTGTGTTTTTTGTATGTTTGTAGTTTAACGCCGCACTCAGAAATATTCCAGTGTGTGTGTGTGTGTGTGTGTGTGTGTGTGTGTGTGTCGAGTGCGGCGGTAGACAACAAACAAACATATACAAATACAAGGGCGGGTCCAACATTTAAAAAAAGGGTGGGGTTAGGCGTTGGGTGGGGGTGGGGGGTCCAAAACAACAAAATCCTCTCTCAGATAAGTATACTGCCTACAATATGCTACATTTGGTTTCAAAAGAGGGAAGGGGAAGGGGGAGCGAACCCCTGGACAACGCCTCTGGTGTCCGCCTATGAATTATCACGTCTTGGGACAATAGAATTGGATTTCACACATTGTACCCATGTGAGCATTCGAACCCAGGTCTTTGGCGTGTCGAGCGAACACTTTAACCACAAGGCTACCCCACCGCCGTGGCCCGATGTAGAAACAAAGTGATACACACCTTACCACGAAATACAAGAAATTTATTTCTTTTTAATTGTCTGTATGATGTTATAACGTTGATTTCAGGTTTGTTTCCCCTATTTTCATTAGTCGCGTGATGTAAATGGAAGAAAGTGAATGTATAATGCAGACAACTTTTATGTTGCCTCCGCCCTCGGCTTGGGTACATGTGCAACCCGACTTTTTTTTAAAATCCTTGGCCCCGTTCCACAAAGCGATCTTAGCACTAAGGTGATCGTAAGTCCCATACTTTAACATAGGTTTACGATCATCGTAGCGCTAAGATCGCTTTGAGGAACGGGGCCCTGGATCCGCGTCTGTGACAAGAGTATTATCGTGTCTCGCATATGAAACACCTAATTCATATAACAATAATTGGAGTCAGGACCAGATAAAAGTGTGATCGGGTGTTTATTATAAAACTGTGGTCATTGTTAATTATGCGTTAGTCGTAACCTGCATCCCTCTTCTATCAAACCCCGGCGTCGTCATGATCGTGTTACGAACGCCTCCCGCTGACCGCTCGCACCATTCTTCTGCAAGCAGCATCTGAGACGGGAGGGGGAGCACGGAGAGGAGAGAGAGTGTTTACAGATACCAGCTTGGGAATATGGATGCTGGGATACCAACTTGCCGGGGTAGCTAGAAAACACAGGTTAGTGCTGTGGGAATACCTCCCTATTGTGTGTGTGTTGTTGAAATATTGAGATACCGCACCTTTGCGGATGTTCCAGCCCGTTCTGAGGTGTATTTGGAACTAAAGACTTCAGTGCTAAACTTTTATGGTTTCAAGATTTCGTGACCTTTTCGCTTCTTGGCAGATATTCCCGCTATGTTGTATATTGCTGTGGTGAGCGTGTGAAGGGAATGGAGGTAGCACGGGAGTCGTGGATATATTGATGGTAGGCCTTATCACACGGAACGTAATTTGTTGCTTGACGAAATATAGGGTTTGATGTAATGCAACGCTATCTTCAACTCACGACGCAATTAGAACGAAGGGAGGGGATCTTGGTTAGATTGAACGTTAGAGTTATTAGAAGTTGCAGCTCTGTTCTTGGCGTGGAGCAAGCAGAAACACATGTCGGCACTGTTCATTCTCACACGATCTCACGCCTAACCAGACACTGTGCTGAGATGAAAGGTGCCCTAGGGCCATGGTGGATTGTGGGCGTCTTGACCATCACCCCCTTCAACTTTCAGCCCCCCACCCCCACAAAGACTCCCGACCCCCACAAAGACTCCCAACCCCCACAAAGACTCCCCATCCCCACAAAGACTTCCCACCCCCTCAAACACTCCCCACCCCCACAAAGACTTCCCACCTCCTCAAACACTCCCCACCCCCACAAAGACTCCCCACCACCCCAGACTGTCCCTCCCTTCGGGTGTTGGTGTTCATTGGTAAAGACTGCACAAACATAGACTACACTTACCTCTGAAAATATATAATTTTGAAAGAAACATTGAAAAAACTTAATTTATTTGAAAAGGAGCCCCAGTGAGGTGAGAGTTTCAGAGATAAAAAGATTTGGGTACCATGAGACATACCATCACAGACCGTGTTGTGTCAGAACACCATTAGCTTCTTAAATGACATTATGACAAACCTTTAGTTCTCAGTCTGGTTTTTAGATTTACAACAAGAAATAGTTAGTAAACATTTACAAGCAGAGTGATGATTAATTGTAGTGACTGAATAGACCATGATTTGGCATTCAAGGTAAACATGTTGAAGACATTAAACATTCTCATGGTAGTACTTGGTAAGCAACACATAACACATCCTTATATTGGCTGTGCAAATGTTACATTTTATGGGAAAGTTCTTTTCTACAATGGCCTATGTAATCCTCAGAAAATTGACGTTTTAATTGCTCAAGTTGTGAGGCAACAAAAACATGCTATCACTTGTAATTGTGAAATTATGAACTACCCCCACTGAGCTGAAGAACGTAGTGGAGCAGTGCTGTGTGGCAACATGGGGAGAGATTTCCGGGGCACTGTCTCGGGTTTACAGAAGTTTACAGACTCGTGTTTAGAATGGTATTTATAGATTGAAACAAGTTGTGTGGCAGGTAGCATACGTTATGTAATTAGTTGAGACAGTAATAGTATTTACAGACAGGAGTGTGTGTGTTTGTGAGTGTGTGTGTGTGTGTGGGTGTGAGAGAGAGGGGGTCGGGGTGTCTGAGGGTCTGCATTCATGGCTAAATAATTATTGAATGCTGGCTGAAAGCTATTTTTGTATTTTGAAAGTAAGTTCATTACTGAAATGCTTGATCCTGTTTATCCAGTGTATTTAATGTCACCCGCACAACTCTCCTGTTGTGATTGAAGTTTATTTTCAACTCAATGAAGTAGATAGAACAAAATATGTGGACTTCGCTAAACCAAAACAACATATGGCTGGAATAATGCCGATACAGCGTTAAATTTTAACTGATTCACTCAACACTTCAAACATCAAACAAAATATTATGTTATTGAAAATGGAAAAAAGGAAGATGAAGGAACTTAGACAATTTTTTCAGAATTTATGCATAAAACAAGGCACAAGCAGAATGTGTGTGCCTTGTATGACAGATTTTGATTCTGACAACCAATCAAGTTTGTCTGGAGGTCAATGACAAAGAAAAGGTTAAATGGGAAGGTTAATAAGCTAAGAATTCAGGGAAGTATTATGATAATTATCCTGTTGATCATAGGTCTACATGTAATTTTCTGTCCCTGTAGGTCCATTGTTTATGCTAGAAGTTTAACTAAAGTTCTGCAATTGGAAGTTGGTTGAACATGTGTATAGCATGACAAGCTCTTTACTGTTATAGTAATACTTTCATCATTCTCTATAACAGTAAAGAGCACATCACTGAAGGGCACACTTTTGTTGGTTTTATGGTTTACAGATAGCTTTACATTGACCTACAAATCTAGGGGTCCAGAGGACCACCAAGTACAAATTTCAAGGGTCATCACAGGGAATATGAGGTCTGTTAAGTAATGAAAAGGTGTAGTGTACAGCACTGTAAGATTTAATACTTTAATTACAGGAACTTTATATTACTTGGTTCACTGAATATTATTATGTGTTTCAACTTTGTTTGATTTTGTAGTCATAACTGTTTATGTTTCTGATCCTTCAAGGAAGGGACAATCTAGCAAATATAAATAAATGTGTACTATTTTCAATTTATTTGATCACTGTGGCTTTTGGCTTCACTCCTTCAAATCCCTGAACTGAGAGATAAAGTTGCCTTACCAACTTCTGAATACAGTAATGTACCGGGTAATTACGCTGATAAAACATAAAACAGGGAAGGAAAGACTTGGTGCAAAACAGTTTTAATAAATTAGATTTATTTCACTAATTGATGTTAGTTATGTGTCAATAAAAGAAAAATGACCTGTGATTTAAGGATGGAATTAAACAAAACCATAAATATCAACAATAAAACAGAAGGGTAACACTTCAAAGAATTCCACATTTGAACAAGAATTATGTTTACAGCATATATAAGAGGTGATGTGGTATGGACCATGTGTTGTGGAGTTCAATGAATGAGTTTGGGATTTTGGTTTATTTTACCGGCGGTTTGAAGATTTGAATCAGAGTTCATAAGAATTCAGAGCTCCAGATAAGCTGCGTATCTGCGTGAAATACGCATCAGAAATGCAGAAATACGCAGTAAAATAAAATCCAAGCGTATCAAATACGCAACGAACATTACAGATATGCTACAAAAGTAAAACTTGTGCGTATCATCAAAATATTGTGAAGTAACCCTGCGTATTCGATTAGCAAATCAGCAACTTATTTTGAAATTATAAACGGGCATTCCGTCAACCTTGCCAAACTCCACGATGACAGTTACATCATGATCATTTGCCATCACACTTTCTTGTGGAAGTATCGTGGTATTTTTTAGTCCTATAAAGCTCTCGAACCCACTCGACACCAGTTTGTAGGGACTACATGAATAGTGTTTTTAAATATTTAACTTGATACCCACATGTGTAAAAACTAGTGGGTAACAGAAATTTGAATACCCAGATAGAGTTGCTGATACCTAATGATTTTAAAATGCATGGGTATAATACCCACAACACCAAAAGCTTATCTGGAGCTCTAGAATTACAGCAACAATTGATTTAGGTTGAAGTATATCGATAAAACAAAAATGACAAATGTTCTTTTGCCGAGACATTCATAACTCTACATCATTGAAACATTCTAATACTTTTTCTAAGGATAACCAAATGAGGACATCAAAACGTTTATACACTAACATGATCAAAGCTAGCTTGTGGTATGTATACCATGTATACACAGACCCCTGATCTTGCCCCAGCTGCCGTGGCGACATTCCACCTGTCATGACGCCCCTTGCCACGTGGCCCAAGTTTACACAGAGCTGTGCGATCCTGCTGTAGATAGAACACACCACCATTTTTTGAGCCTCTAGTTAGAACCTTGATGACAGATGGCCCTATGCCTTTCTGCCCAGGCGGCCATTATGCCGTTTTAATGATTGTGGAATTGCTGGCACTTGTGCTGGTGCTACCAAGTTGACTTGTGATGGAACCTCGCGTCAACCTTACTTGGCGCTTCCAGTTGTGTATGAGCATGGTTTGAGTAGGCTAGGTAATTGAATAGTGGCTTCAAAATTATTTCCGAAAGTTGTCATTTTGATTCTGTTGACAAGAATGTGGGATACATTTCTTAGCTTTGAAATGTAATACTTTGTTGAGAGAGAAAAAGCATAAAGGTTTATTTCCATGAGAAATATTTGCTGTTGACTTAGTGCATTGCTGACAAGAAATAAACAGCTATTAAAGTAATGGATGGGGTTTGACAGCCTTCTATGTCGGGAAGTTATATGTTGAAAACACAGATCACTCAACTAAGGCCTAACAAACATTGTGCTCACAGAAGTATGTGGACATGCCTGGCACATACAATCTCCCCCCACCCATCCCCACCCCTCCCCCCTACCCTACCCTCCCCCCCCCCCCCCCCCCCCCACACACACACACACACTCCCCAATGCAGAGCAATGTGTCACAGGGCTAGGGCACTTCCCCTCTGAAGTCATCTGTGTAGAGACTTGGTGTCATCTGTGTATAATAGAGTCTGGACCAGACAATCCAGTGATTGATATCATGAGCATCGATCCACGCAATTGGGATTCGATGACATGCATCAACCAAATCAGCAAGCCTGACCACCCGATCCCGTTTGTCGCCTCTTACGACATGCATAGTCGCCTATTAGGGCAAGCATGGGTTGCTGAAGACCTATTCTACCCCGGACTTAGTATACGGAAAAGCATAAAGCATATCATAGTTATTTCAAAGTATCATGATAGGAATTCGAGTTACCAGGGGGGCGAGGGCTCCTTTTCTATGGAAGATTTCAATCATAAGACCAAGGTAACATGCTTGTCTTTTAAGCCTGCATGGAGAGAGCTACATGTCAAAGAGCACAGGAGATACATTGAGAGGATTACAAGAAGCATCACAACTCTTAATTAGTTGTAGATTTCAGGTAATCAGAAAGAGCAATAACCACATTTGAGTTGTTTATATCATCGTAACATGTGGGAGACAAGCTAATTGTATGGTCATAAATGTCGGTATGGGTTTGGAAAAAGTCAGTATAGCTTGTAACTGTGGACTTGGAGCGCTGTATGCAATCTAGCATACCTTCTTCTAGTCTGTTTCACAGTCTCTCAGCCATATTATTTTCCATTCCGCCCAGCCTTTACTGTAATGTTAGAGATCTAAATGAAGCAAGTCTAGATTTTCCACAGGTTTGGGTACCTGTCTCACTGGGGCTCCTTTTCAAAATTAATGTTGTTTTCTATATTGTCAGAGACCTAGCATTAGTGTAACATCGTACAGACTTCAGTGCTACTGGCTGCACAACTACACACGTTCTACTGCAGTTACAACTAGGCTGTGTGTTATGTGAGCCTGATTTCTGCATCCTGTTTTTCCCAACTGTGAAAAACACATGTGCATGAATGATGTTGTTTGGAAAACAGTATTTGTCAGGATACACTTGCATGGATGCTGTGTTAAGGACCATGGAGATCAAATGAGATGGGACAACTTCCATTAGTATTTTGTGCCATGGGCCATTGGCTAGAGATATAGACAGGTGGTATTTACCTTACGCTGCTGAGAACTTTCAGACAGTCATGGCCTACAGGATAGTTGACAAAAGTCAATATATATATAAAATATAAAATATATAAAAAGAAAACCATCCCAGAGGTTACACATTGAGATTATTCATGTTTTTCCAAGGATCCTAACGTCCATTATGTGCCTAATCTTTTCTTTTATTATTTAAAAAAAATTAAATTACCATATATTTTAACCTGTTGTAATTTGACATGTTAGATATGACATATTTTACCTCGGCAAAATTGATTTGTTCATTGAAGAGCAAGAATAAAACATGAATGGTCTGGATACAACTGCCATTGCTGTGTTGTGATAAGCCAAGATGGCTGCCGGCAGGGTCATGCAGTACGAATCAGAAGAGCTATTGCCATGGCACAGGAAATTGCCTGTGGTAAACTCATGACTGTGCCTCTTTATTTAATGTAATTACAGCGGTTATGGATATGGCATACATGTAGAGAATGGCTCCCAGCTTGTATGGGAGCCAGGTGGTATTTGGAATTCCAGATGAATTTCTATAAAAGATTTCTTAACACGAATTCTGAGCAGTACATACATGAGAGCCGGAGATGGAATGTGGGGTATGGGGAGTAGTATTCACAAGCCTATAATTATGATAAGTATTAAGTGTTTCGGATTAGGGTTTATGTTCAGCCATCATTAACATTATCAATAGGTGATTACGATATTTGTCTTGCCATCCAAATGGATCTAAAGTACGGTAATCAAATATGTATTGAAACAAGAGAAAGTAAGTTTTGGAAATTGAATTATTCAGTTCAAATATCCTGTTCATTTGAGTTATTCAAATAAGGAAAAGGAACCTATATTTCAAGATTATTTAGTAGATGTGAAATACAAAACTATTATAAACATGGTGGTGAGGAGAGTTTGGAGACCAAATACAATTAACTAGAAATGTGTATCGTGCAGAATGTATTGCTCATAAAAAAATGTCTGCCGTATTGAACTAAACAGAATAGTTCTTTCAGCTTTGCAAGTGAATTATAATAAATCAAATAAGGTGGATGTACAGTGCTCCAGATAACTTTTTGAACAATTAAGATTTTACTCAGGGTTTTAATTAGGTTATTACATTTTTCATTGGGTAACCAATATTATTTCATCCATCTTTTCATAATGCTATTGGGTTTTTCCCCAAAAGAGTAAACATTTTAAGATTTAAAAAAAAATGAAATTATGTTTTAGATGTATGTAACAATGATACCTGTTCTAAATATATAGGCTTGACTCGGAAAGTAAATTAGCTTGTGATTGTGTTTCGGAAATTAGCTCCGTTGTACCATGCTGATAAAGCTTCATTGGGTATTTACGCGTGCTGTTTTTATACATTTGAGTTTTTCATTGAATGCATGCGTTTCTGTACGCAAGTTAATTGAAAGTAATTGGGTTTTGAATATTTTGTGGGGGTATTTTACGCAAATACGCTGCATATCTGTAGCTCTGGATGCATGGGTTAGAATGTACTTTTCTCAGTCATTATGTTTATGATACTACATGAAATGGGGACAACTTTTCTCAGAAACTGCTGATGTTAAACGAACGGCAGGTTGCATGCTTGTCTAAGACTGAGTTTGAAAATTGGTGCCGTAATTATTTTTTTACAGAGTGATTGCCCTTACTCCATGCTTTTCAACTGTAAGTAAGTGCATAGTGTCTGCAATGGGGACAAGATTTCTCAGAAACTACTGACGTTACATGAATGAAACTTTGCAAGCTCATCTTAGAGATACTTGTGTGTTTGGTTCCGTAAATTATGTTTCTTGAGAGTTACTTCCCTTGCTACATGTTTTTAGATTTTGAGCATACACAGTTATGGCCCTTGATCCATTATATTTTTAAAAGTGCATAGTGTCTCACGTTTTCTCAGATACTACTGATACTATTTTAGAGATACAAGAGAAATTACTATAATTTATCCATTTGTCTATCCCTCCATGCTGTCTTCATTGTTTCAGAGCGAGATGGGGTGTGGAAGGTCGACTACTGCGGAGTATGCACCGGTGTCACAGCCCGTGGGCATCTACGGGTGGCGGAAGCGGTGTCTGTACGCTTTCATCCTCTTCCTCATGGTGGTGATGATCATGAACCTCGCCCTCACCATCTGGATCCTCAGAGTCATGAACTTCTCCATCGTAAGTAATAAAACCCAACACAGGACGCACAAGAACGTGTACATTAAGTGATACCGCTACAAAAAATTAAAACAAATTCAAAATTGAAAACAGCCATTTGATTGAGCTGTGCAATGTCACATGCCTTTCAAGGACTCGGGGGGGGGGGGGGGGGGGGTGTGCGGCTTTTGCTTCGAAGCTGGGTATAAGGAATTTATTCTCCCGCTCAGAAATCCACATACAGCCTGTCTTCTTTGTGGTGAGGTAAAAGGGATTTATTCTCCTGCTCAGAAATACAAGTTCAGCCTGTCTTCTTTGTGGAGGGGTATAAGGGATTTATTCTCCTGCTCAGAAATGTATATCCCTCCCAGGTGGCATTCACAGTATTTCATCAAGATCACTTGAACCGATCAGATCTCATAATTCTGACGTGTAGGTACGATAATAGTGTTTAGTAAAACATTTTCTGAAAGTATGGGAACAAAGATATGATTGATTTTGATTTGTTTGTGAACTATTATATATCAATTAGTATTAGTAAATCAATTTTATGGATAATTGTATTTCTGGTAAAAATCAAATATTTTTTATATAATATCGACTGACACTTATAGCATATAGTATTGTAGGTATCTTGTCATTGTAGCCTTGTAAGAGGTACTACTTTGAAGTGAGACCTGCTTGAAGGGTTTACATTTTAATTGTAAGACCAAGGTTTTACAGTTGAGTTGTATAAACAGCCTTTTGATATGCATCTTATATTGAATTTTGACTGGTTAAAAGTCACATTTTTTTGTCACATGAAAATGCCATGACATGAATGATCCTGCGACCTCACATATCAGGTTAAATATTGTAACCAACTGTTTTCCCACTGAGCTACCTGTGCAGGTGATGAAAGGGTGTTCAATCTTACTTGTCACTGACTTCAGTTGTCTGCATTCTGCACATGGGTCTTTTCCTTGCTGTCGTCAAATTTGTTCTATACCATGACTACTGTATTGTTTCACTATAAGGTATTGTTATGTTTTCTTATTGTTTCTGGTATTTCCTGCAATTAGATGGTACATGTTATAGTGAAAGAGCCAGTACGTCAACATTCTGAAGCCATGTTTGCAAACAATAGCCATTAACTCCGGAGTTTACTCAGCCCTGCTTGCCTAATTTCACAAGAGAAGATTCTGCTACAGTCTTTCCGGGGAATCTGCAAGTTGATTGGCTTCATACTACCATGGCATTTATATTGCAATCTAGACTTGATAAACTCTGGCTTCTAGTCCAATGTAGCTGGCTAGTATTTTTGAACTCATCTGTTAGAAAAACACACAAGCTTTTTCTTCTATTTGGCGCTAATAATAACATGCCCGAAGTCAGTTAATTCTGCGCAGTGCTTGGCTTGTCGGATTTGCTGTGCGGAAATCTATTGTTTTGGTTTTGAATCATGCAAGGTGTGACGTCACACTTTAAACTTATTTTATACATGAATAAAAAAAACCAGAACCGTCAACGTACTGGCCCTTATAAACAGAACTTGGTGGTTATGGCCTTTGGCTTTTCCCTCGCTTGCGGTTTTACATTTTCAGACAAAACCAAACCTTGGAGTCATGCTTTAACATCTTCCTGAGGCAAGAGCGTTAACTGACTTTACAAGTCCAGTTTCCACTCTTGCCCAACTAGGCTGGAATTCCTGGGCTCGATCGTAGTGCCACCAGTGGCTATTACGAGTTATGTCCCTTCTGTGCCTTTCCTATGGACCAATCAGATTTCACCTCTTGTATCACTTGCATTTGCTTCAAACAAAATGGCGGTGCCAAGTCAAGACGATCTGATTGATAATCAAGATCTATATTGTGATAAAACGGTGTATCAAATCATGTGAGCACTTTGATTAAAAACATGAAAAGATTTGGAATATATATGTTGACACCGAGTTGGCAGTGCACATGCTTTGCAAATACTGCAATCGACCGAAATCTGCATGACACTTTACGAACCGGAGTTCGATTCATTGTGCAATTTTGATTGGACTATGCATAGACTCGTTAGTCCAGCCAAATTCTAACTCCATAATACCAGCCTAGTTCGGCAAGGGTGGAGACTGGACTTTTATAGTCAGTTAAATCTCTTGCCTCGGGAAGATGTGCTTTAACTGTTAGATAATCCTGACTGGTTTGTGAAAAAAAAAATCCTGTTAATTCCATACTTCTATCAGTTGTGTATCTTTATCACCATGGGGCATGCTAAAAAGTTAACTTGATACTTCAATATGATATGGAGGTTCTTGGTGTTCCTTGTTGAGAGTGGTCACTCTGTGTGTGGGCAGGATGGCATGGGCCAGTTGAAGATCACCCCGTCGGGAGTGAAGGTGGAAGGGGAGGCAGAGTTTGTCAAGTCCGTGTATGTCGAGGACATCAAGTCCAAGGACAACCAGCCTCTGTTTGTTGAGGCGGCCCGGGACGTGCACTTACAGGCGAGGGACCAGAACAACAAGCAGACCGCCAGCTTCAGTCTGGGTGAGAATTCAGGACAGAACATTATACAGCGTGTCAGGTCATAGATGACAGAACATTATACAGCATGTCAGGTCACAGATAGATGACAGAACATTAAACAGCATATCAGGTCACAGATAGATGACAGAACATTACCGTATATGACCGCGGATAAGCCGACCCCGTAGATAAGCCGAGGTGTTAACTTGACCATTGAAATACGAGAGAAAATGATATGACCCGCAGATAAGCCGAACCAGGAATTGAAAGGCAAAAAACACTGCGAAGTCGGACTGCAAGACATGTGCCGGTACTCGCAGATATTCAAAAATATAAGATGAAAAACGTTGTAATTATATTGAAAAAGTCATTATTATTTCTAATAAAGATTTAACAAACCAGTCATCCACTTTCATAATGTGGGAAGCTGTTTCTCGTGGGTTTTTTTAATCTCATAATGATCGTTAAATGTTGCCATCAACAACAAGCGCCATTTTGTGAATCGGTGTATATAGAATTATGAACCCGTGACAAAATATATCAGCTAGAGCGAAGACTCGCAGTTTGAATTCAGCATCGTAAGCATGGCGTATTCGTTTCAAACTCATGATGAGAATGTCAGTCAAAATACCGCTATGTCAAAATATACCAACTTTTATAACCCCCTTTACACCACTATTGTATGTTAATCCAATTGAATTAAATAAACCATCATACTATGAACACATTGAATGACCATCACTTACTCACAGGCTTCTCCAGTTTATTAAACTAATCTCTCGAAAACAAAGGAATTAAGCCCCTACTCCCAACACGATCGCTAAGCACCCACAACTTGAAAATATTTGTGTAAACAACATGACAATACCAATCGGCCCGTTATTATCAATGCTCATTTCCTTGTGTACCGTGTTGCTTTTTAAACAACAGGAAGCAATCACAGTTGTCACCGTTTGTGACGTCACAGGAAACAGCTGATCACATATTTTTGCAAATGGCGAACGGAATAACTTGCCGATACAGTTTTGCCTCTTTCAATAAAGGTAGACACTTGTTCACTATCAATTTATGAACTTTGCAAAACGTACGTAATCGCTATTGGCGATTTCATCTGGGAATTATATATTATAGCTGTGAATTACATATATTGTTCCATGTAAAGATTGTGGAGTTTACGAAGAACGATAAACTTTGAACATTCAATTGAAAACTTATTATCGGAAGTAGTAACATGCATAACATTTTTTTAATAATGACAACATTGGTGTATAATAATAACTTTATTAATAATCTATAACAATCATGGCTCTAGTCCTGGCAACTTCCAAACTTTCGGGAAGTTGTGATCTATCGGACCGTCATTCAGGCGATGTTTCTGACAGATCACGATCTGAAAAATACTATCATGAAAGTGTATCCCGTGGATAAGCCGACCCCTTTCTACAGAATCTTTATTTCTGGTCCTCAAAATTCGGCTTATACGCGGTCATATACGGTATACAGTATGTCAGGTCATAGATGACAGAACATTAAACAGCATATCAGGTCACAGATAGATGACAGAACATTATACAGCATATCAGGTCACAGATAGATGACAGAACATTATACAGCATGTTAGGTCATAGATAGATAGATGACTTGCATCTGGTGATGTTTCAGAAAAGAACAAGGCGACGGTAATGTGTGACACTTTCGAAGTCAAGGACAACAACGGCATCTCACGCTTCCTGGTCAACAAAGATGAAATCATCTTCGGTGCAGATGAGGTTGTATACTCCGGTGAGTTTGGTTCAGCAGCATCTTGAACAGTCGTCAGTAATATCATAACCTGTCATATAGATGTAGGAGGAAAGCCCTAAGTGATGAAGGGGGGCACGGGTGGCCCAGTCGTCTAAGGCACCGCGATTCGCTGTGCAGAGTTGCGTCCCTTGGGAACAGCAGAAACCTATGATTGTGGGGTCGAATCCCGGTTCGCCCCCATTATGATTCTAGGTTTGTCAGCTCCATACCCGTGCTCGTGGGTTTCACCGAAGTGGTAAACGTCTGAGACCTGCATCACTTCGGGCTTTCCTCCCACATTAAGCTGACACGCCACGATATAACTGTAATACTGTTAAAAGCGGCGTTAAACCCAACTCACTCACTAACCTAAGTGATGCACCCTCAGATGTTGAACACTTTGGTGGAAAGAACTAGAAACATAATTCGGGTCCGCAATCATAGGTTTCTAGGGGCACTAGTCACTGGCTTCTTCCTGGTTGTCGACCACTGGCCGTGAGTCGATTTGCTCGCAAACGCATCTGAGCATGACAAGAGACTGGGCTACCATCTGTAAGAACAGAGTAAATAAACTTTGTGACAATATCAATACGCATGTCTAAGCAGTGATTGGTTACCTGTGATCTATGAATATTTTGATACTTCAAAACGTGCATGTTAATTCATTTTTTCAGCCTGAACAAACCGACAAAAAGAATGGTGGAAACTCATCATATATCAGTATTTGGAAATCCCCCCGATGGTTATAGTTTATAAGAAAAAGAATCCCCGCTGTGAAAGCATTTTTCAGATTTCAGATTGCCTGGATAATGCGATGACTGAGATTGATGTGAATCCTTTGCCTGTATTTCATAGCTTTGTATTTAATCATCCCACGTTAATAGGCTATCATATTTATAATAAACATTTTATTTATTTGAGATAGTAAATGAAACCCATTTTGTCATTGTTGTATACTCAAAACAGCAACGGTCCTTATTTTTCAGGCAACTAGATAGCATATAATACAACAATTGCTTATACTTACAATTACTTACAATTTATAACTCTAGTTTATCGTTGGGAAGTTTTTTGATAGAAGACAGACAACACTAAGTGGTTATTCACAAGCCTTTTTGTTTGTAGACGTGTATTTGTTACAGTCAATGTGTAAAAAATATGACTTATATAGGCAATACATAAAATAAGGAAGAGTTGGGTTTTGGTTGGTTGGTTTGTTGTTTTACGCCGCACTCAGCAATATTTCAGCTATATGCAGCCTTCTGTAAATAATCAAGTCTGGACCAAACAGTCCAGTGATTAATATCATGAGCATCGATCCACGCAATTGGGATCGATGACATGCATCAACCAAGTCAGCGAGCCTGACCACCCGATCCCGTCACCTTTTACAACAAGCATAATCACTATTTACGGCAAGCATGGGTTGCTGAAGACCTATTCTATCATGGATGGATGTCAACTTCTTTATTATGAGGAACTCATCATTTCGGGTGATATGTGCTTACTCCTTCATCAGGTGAATGAATGCCATGAGACAGAGAGCATATATATATATACATGTAAGGACAACAAAATTAATAAGATAACAAAAGGTGGAAAATAACAAAGAGTAGAAACTAACAAGGGAAGCCAACAGATGATTGGCGCTGATAGGTGATTAGCAATAGACAATGGAAGCCAACATTGTTGTTATCTTATTACAACAAAAATAACAAAGACTGTTAAACACAAATTGTTCTGCAAATATCTTGCTGTTGTATGATCACTTTTGACCTCTCCTTTTCCAAAGATCTTCATATATCCATCCATTGTTACTGTTAGTAATACTGATATACCGTTTTCCCGTTCCAGGGAAAGCTACTTTTGACGGATCCGTGGAGACGCCATCATTGCGGGGACCACAATCAGAATCTCTCGTGTGAGTTCCTATTCAGTTCTTGTAGAAAAGTAAGTGAGTGAGTTGGGTTTAACACTGCTTTGAACAGTACTCCGGTTATATCACAGCGTGTCATCTTGATGTGGGAGGAAAGCCTGATGTGATGCAGGTCTCAGACATTTACCACTTTGGTGAAACCCACAAGCATGAGTGCTAACACTATTGCCTATTGCCTAGAAACATAAACGGTGTGAACTGGGATTAGAACCCACAATCATCAGTTTCTTGTGTGCCCAAGGGACACAACTTTGCACAGCGGTGCCTTAGACGACTGGGCAACCAATGCCCCCATAGAAAGAGTGGATATTATGATTTGATTTAACGCTATCCTCAACATATCCCGCTGCTTGGGTTGGTGGGGTAGTCTAGTGGTTAAAGCGATCACTCATCATGCCAAAGGCTGGGTTTGATTCCTCACATCGGTACAGTATATGAAGATATGAAGCCCATTTCTGGTGTTCTTCCTCCCCCCTCCTCCCCCCCCCACAATACTGGTGGAATATTGCTCAAAGTGTCATAAAACCTCACTCACTCATTCATTCATTCAGCTGCTAGACTGGGACAGTACCATGGTTATGTAAATGAATCAATCTTAAACCGTATCGGCAACAAAACAAGGTTTGTCTCATTGCTGCCTGGATCATGTCCTAGTTTGTCAACACCCATCTATTTTGTCATGGACATAGCACATACAGGGTGAGTGAGTGAGTGAATGTACCAGGCCACTAGATTCCCATCTTCCCGAGGCAAGAGAGTTAACTGACTTTAAAAGTCCAGCTTCCACCCTTGCCGAACTAGGCTGGAATTCCTATTACCAGTTATGTCCCTTCTAAGCCTCTCCCATGGACCAATCAGATTCCACCTCTCGTATCGCTTGCGTTTGCTTCACGCAAAATGATGGCGCCCAGTCAATAATCAAGATCTATATTGTGATAAAACGGGTCATACATCGCGAAATGCATCAAATCACGTGAGCACCTTGATTAAAGATATGAAAAGATTTGAAAAATATCTGCTGACAACGAGTGGGCGGTGCACATGCTTTGCAAATCCTGCAATCGACAAAAAAGATGCTAGATTCCCCATATCATACATTCCTAATATTGGCTTCTGAAATGGGGTTTAACGTCGTGTTTAAGGTTAGCGCACTTATATAGCAATGTGGATGTGTGTGTTTTAACATCTAGTGGCATCAACCCCCCGCCTTCCACTCTCAGGGCAGACGCTCTACCCAGTCGCTTTATCCACTAGATCACGGAGGTGGTCACACCTAACTGACCCTACATAGATAAACATAAATGTTTGGTAAGATTGGGGCAGTTGTCGATGTTCTTGAATAAAGACACCAGACACTTCCTGTTTTGAAGTTTTACTTGTGTCTGGTGATGTATGTGACATGGATTATCTCCCCTTGTCAGGGTGGAGTCGGAGAGCAGTGCGGTTAAGCTGTCGGCACCAGGGGGCGTGTTCCTGCAGGCACCGGCCGGCAACATCGATATCAACACAGCCGATGACATCAGGCTGCACAGTAAATACGGCTCTGTAAGTGTATGGCTCCTTTCACAAGGAATTGGCAACCGATAAAGATGATTCTTTTGAACCCTTAACCTGCTGAAGGTTGCCAGCTAAGGCGAAAAAAATAGTATCATGTTCCTGGTCCCCGCACATGTCATTTCACCCCACCCGATCCCTGCCTCGAGTTTTCATATTTTCTGGATTTATTTTTCAAAAAGAAATGTCCAAACTGCACATGACGCACACTGCCTCTGATGTCTGTGCATGTTGGTGTGAAGTTGGGGGTATGGGGGTGTGGGGGGATGAGGGGATTAAAAGGCAGGTCAGACATCACTCCACTGAACCTTCAAGAACTTTGATACCAGAGATAACCACACTTTTTCTCCAGAATTCAATGATTTGAGTGTCATGCATATGAGGTTGTCTCCCCACCATCCCCGCCCCCACCTCCCCCAAAAATAGAGAAGACCAGAAAGAAAGAACCAGACCAAAAGACCAGAAACATAATACTTTTTGTTTTTGCCTGAAAGTTCTATTTGATGTCACTTGTTTAATGGAGAAGAGGTCTCTGAATCAACAAAATTTGAATTAACTACTTCTAATCCTTGAATATCTAGCATATATCTCCCTTCCATTATAATAGATATCATTGAGGAATGGAGCTATGATGACAGCAGACTAGTCATTTTATGTATCTTTTTATATATATTTTATTTAACTTTTTATTTAAAGGTACTATTTTAAGAAACTGACATCAAATGAACCTGATACTTATTCGTTATTTCTAGTTACCATTGTTATCATACCAAAGAAAACTGCCTCTATTACATCATTGCCTAAATCCTGTATTTTGCCTTTCATCTCATTATAAAAAATTTGCAACAGAAGTCCTCTTCACTGTCAAGTAGTTGAGACACATATATTATCTCCCTTCCTCCCAAGCCTCTTGCACTTGCCAAAGATGGGAAAACGCCATTTCTTGCCAACATCTTCATTTAGATGGAGACATTTGGGGAGGTGGGTGGGATTTCCCATGATGTAATAGAGGTAGTATTTTTTTATCCCCCTCAACACATATTAAAATGGACACAGTACATCCGTGTGTCCGTCCTTGCTAGATGTCATTTCTGGAGCAGGTCTTGAAAACCGTAAATAGTACATAGACAGGTCTAGTGGTGAACAGGTGCCTTTTGATAGTGGGGGAATTTTGTAAAAAAAAGATTTTTGGGCGTTCCATAGCAACAACTTTGACTTGGTGGTATTGCTCGTTTCCGAAGCAGATCTTGAAAAACATACAATATTCCTTCAGCAAACTTTGTACATTGATAGGTCTAGTATTGAACTGGTGCCTTTTGATAGTTTGGGATATTAAAAAAAAAGGTTTTTCTGTTTCCACAGCGGGGCGGTAGGGTAGCCTAGTGGTTAAAGCGTTCGCTCGTCACGCCGAAGACCCGGGTTCGATTCCCGACATGGGTACAATGTGTGAAGCCCATTTCTGGTGTCCCCCGCCGTGATATTGCTGGAATATTGCTAAAAACGGCGTAAAACCATACTCACTCACTCACTCACTGTTTCCACAGCAACAACAACTTGGCCTTAGGCTGAAAATGGCGGTAGTGCTCGTATCTTGAATAATTAATAATTACTATATACCTTTGAATACAAAACCTCGAGTCAACTTGGTACACCGGTACTTCTTTTGATTTCTTTGTTTAGTTGAACCTTAAGTTATCCTCGGTTTCGTTTCTTTAACCATTCACCATTTCTGTGTGTACCAAATGACAGCCTCCAGCCAGGAGTGTTGACCATGTGTGCGAGCGACAACACAAACTACAATTTATTACATTTAAAACTAGCCTTGGCGTCCTATGTCCACAGACGAACTGCCTTTCCTCACTCATGCATCCAAGCATCAAGTGTTCAATGTCCATATGGTTCAGGATATTTATTTTGGGTGGGAAAGTTTATATTCACTCAGGAAATGATGGGGATGGGGCTGCCTCTGTTTTGGGATAATTTCTTCTATTATCCCCCGCCACAAAGTGGAAAGGGGGATATAGGAATGGCTGCTGCCCATCCGAGCAGAACTAAAAAAACCATGATATCTCTATCAAACTTGGCACATAGATAGGTCTAGTTGTGAACTGATGCCTTTTGATAGTTTGGTATTTTTTTAAAATGTATTTTTCCATGGCAACAACTTAGACTGAAAATGGCATATTGGTAGGGGATAAGAGTTTTACATGCTTATACATTTTTTTTACCTCTGTGTTTAAAATTCTTAAAAAAAGAACAAAAAGACAAGAACATATAAATACAACTTCCGCAACTTCCGCAACTTCCGCACTATCTTGATGTGCTACATCACCCCACCTCCTTCTTGCAGATCCTGCTGGACTCCGCCAACATCTTTCTGAAGAGGCTGAAGTTGAGTAGCCCCACAGGATCTGGGCGCGAGTACCCTGGGGTGCACCAGCTGTGCATGTGTCCCAGCGGGCGCATCTTCCTCGCAGCGCCCAGCGGGGACTGCCGGGCTACCGGGGATATATGTAAATCCAAGAGATAGCAGAAATGATTCCCACCTGACAAGACATGGTAACCATGGTAACACTCTGAGACTTTGAACAGTGTGAAGAGTGCTGACAGAAATTCTGGATCAAGACATTGAAGTGGATTCAAAGACTATTGGGAGATGGGTGCATATGAGTGTGAAGACTCTCGTAGTGTTGAAATATTTCCTTGATTAATGGTGCTTATTAAAAGTGCCTTGTGAGCAAGACAAAGAAAGCTTATGAGCAATCTGTTCATCTATGCTGCAGCTCATACACTCAGATTTGTAGGAATGATTGACAGAATTGATGACGTTTCCTCATCTACTTCCTGTCATGAGCAGTGCTAATATTATGATCCTTGGGTGTCTGTGTGCTCCAGTCCTGTCGTCATGGACACAGGAGCAAGTTCAGTTGGACCGTGAGTCTGTGACACCCTCATGCCTTCCAACCCAAAGGATCCAAGGCTTCATGTCTCAAACTCTAGATGACAGTTTTCTCCATATGGTTTTACATACAAAGTAATAAAAAGATGACACTATTCTATATTCCTCAAGAAAGTACCTGAAACTTAAATACTTTAAATTGGATATTTTCTTATATTTGTAATTTTTGTTCTTTTATTTAGGGCAGGATAAACCATAAAATCTAAAATAGCTATTTTGAAATAAAGATTTAGTAGATCAGTTTGGAACGCATTTTTAAGGTGAGTACAACTGTTTGTATAAGGGAAATTTTCAATACCATTTCTTATGTAGGGAAGATCTTGTATTTGGTGTTAAAGATGGATTGGTATTTCATTTCCACCTGTGCTGATTTAAAAATTCTGACATTGTCCTGGGAACATACCAGTTTAACACTGTTTGATCTGTCTGCCAGTGCTTGTGCCACATCACTTTAGTCATTGACGTCAAAATACAAGTGTGTGACAAGTCAAAACATGGCCGTGTTAAATTTGACGTTGACATTCAAAAACATCATCTTGATATTTGAAGTGCTCCTATATCATATCACAAACATGACAGAACAAGCCATCTGAAGCAGCATCAAGGCACCATCTGATGTGGGTCAACTGGTGACAGGGTGATGCATGGCAAGACTTGACTCTCTCTACGATACGTAGTATATACGTGATGTCTTACCTATTGAGGGGTGGTCGGGTAGCCTAGTGGTTAAAGCGTTAGCTCGTCACGCCGAAGACCCGGGTTCGATTCCCGACATGGGTACAATGTGTGAAGCCCATTTCTGGTGTCCCCCGCCGTGATATTGCTGGAATATTGCTAAAAGCGGTGTAAAACCATACTCACTCACTCACTTACCTATTGATGGCTGTCAACCTTTTTAAAGGTCATTAGATTTAGGCTTGTTGGGTTCAGTAATGTCTGGATGGGGGCTTTGGTCATCCTCATAAAGCAATGTTAGCACTCCGATTGTCTTAGTCGATGCTTAATTATGTGAGTTACCTTCATAATGCTACTGTCTCTTTGTGAAGCTGAGCCAAGTGCCCACTCCATGAAGCAATCCTGGTGCTACAACTGAAGTAAGGGTCACAGAATAGGACTTGTGTAAAACTATGATTACTGTAGGAGACGGAGGTCCCTGTTCAAAAGAGCTATCTTAGCGCTAAGGCGATTGTAACTCCCATACCTAAACATAGACTTACGATAGTGATCTTTGCTATCATGAACTTCTCACAAGTATGGAGAGTCATACCACGAAGATTGCTTTGTGGGCGGAAGCGCCTGATGTAAACATCCTCCATTGTCTAATGCAGGATACCCACTGGGTCATCACACTCCGACAGTTCGCATTGCAGTGAAACATCTAAGACTTGGCCGTGTTCATCCGGAAATGTCACTTTGTAGATGATTAATTTTAGGGGCTTTAGGGACATGTTGTTATATGCAAAGGATATTACTCCAAACTTATTATTATCAATCAAAAATGAGCTAATCTGGATGATTTTAATCAGATTTGGTTAAATCAGGTTTCACATCGTGGTTCTGATGTCATATGGTACCCAAGCTGGTATCCGTGTTTTCGTATACTGGTATCTGTGTACTGTTGTATGGTTGTATATAGTAAATAGTATCACACAGTCATCTACAAGGGTAGAACTCAGCGCTAGTTCACAAGTCTATACATTGTACTGCTTGTTGGTTTGACATTTTGGCTTATAGAATTTCTGGCAAAAAATTCATGATTTTAAAAACTTCTAGGCTTTATATGTTTCCTTCTATACTTAACAGTAGATGTTGTGAACTATTAATTTATTCTGATTTCTCACGTATATTTTCAGCAACTTTTCTAGTATTCACCAGACACATTAACAGTATGTACTTACTTGTATGTCAGGCAGATAAATCTGCACAAATATATTTTTGTAGTGTACATTGTATTAGGCCATTATCAGTTAAAAGATTAAAGACTTTCAAGATTTGATAATTATTGAGATGTTAAAGTATTTATGAGCTACCATTCACTAACGTTTATTATTTAACTTGTGGAACTATGTAAATACTCGTCATTGTTGTCATTGTCATCAAATATTTAGTTTGAATTTGTTTAGTTGAAATAAAGGTTTATCTCAATCCCATGTTGCCTTGTTGAGTGACATACACATCACTCTCATATAATACACTGTCTGAACCACAGGAATCTTACATACACATCACTCTCATATAATACACTGTCTGAACCACAGGAATCTTACATACACATCACTCTCATATAATACACTGTCTGAACCACAGGAATCTTACATACACATCACTCTCATATAATACACTGTCTGAACCACAGGAATCTTACATACACATCACTCTCATATAATACACTGTCTGAACCACAGGAATCTTACATACACATCACTCATATAATACACTGTCTGAACCACAGGAATCTTACATACACATCACTCTCATATAATACACTGTCTGAACCACAGGAATCTTACATACACATCACTCTCATATAATACGCTGTTTAACCACAGGAATCTTACATACACATCACTCTCATATAATACACTGTCTGAACCACAGGAATCTTACATACACATCACTCTCATATAATACACTGTCTGAACCACAGGAATCTTACATACACATCACTCATATAATACACTGTCTGAACCACAGGAATCTTACATACACATCACTCTCATATAATACACTGTCTGAACCACAGAAATCTTACATACACATCACTCTCATATAATACGCTGTCTGAACCACAGGAATCTTACATACACATCACTCTCATATAATACGCTGTCTGAATCACAGGAATCTTACATACACATCACTCTCATATAATACGCTGTCTGAACCACAGGAATCTTACATACACATCACTCTCATATAATACGCTGTCTGAACCACAGGAATCTTACATACACATCACTCTCATAATACACTGTCTGAACCACAGGAATCTTACATACACATCACTCTCATATAATACGCTGTCTGAACCACAGGAATCTTACATACACATCACTCTCATATAATATGCTGTCTGAACCACAGGAATCTTACTCATCACTCTCATATAATACGCTGTTTAACCACAGGAATCTTACATACACATCACTCTCATATAATACGCTGTCTGAACCACAGGAATCTTACGTACACATCACTCTCATATAATACGCTGTCTGAACCACAGGAATCTTACATACACATCACTCTCATATAATACGCTGTCTGAACCACAGGAATCTTACATACACATCACTCTCATATAATACACATCACTCTCATATAATACGCTGTCTGAACCACAGGAATCTTACATACACATCACTCTCATATAATACGCTGTTTAACCACAGGAATCTTACATACACACCACTCATATAATACGCTGTCTGAACCACAGGAATCTTACATACACATCACTCTCATATAATACGCTGTTTAACCACAGGAATCTTACATACACATCACTCTCATATAATACGCTGTCTGAACCAAAGGAATCTTACATACACATCACTCCCACGCTTGCTGTAAAAGGCGACTACGCTTGTCGTGAGAGGGATCGGGTGGTCAGGCTCGCTGATTTGGTTGATGCATGTTATTGTATCCCAATTGCCTAGATCAATGCTCGTAGTGTCAATCACTGGACTGTCTGGCCCAGACTTGATTATTTACAGACTGTCGTCATATAGCTGGAATAGTGCTAAGTGTGGCGTTAAACAACAAACAAACAAACACTCCCTGTGAAAGTATTCTGGCCTTCAAATCTTCACTTTAGTAGCAAGTCCTAATAGGCTACGTTCATTCAGTATAATTTTAGTTTCTATTGACTACCCCAGACAGTATTTATACGGTATTGCACTTAAAATGCATCTTGTCAGTTTGTAGGGAAGACCACTATAACAAGACTTTTAGAGACTAACATTTTACAACTTACATGGATACGGTTCCAAAGGTGAGGATCATAATCAAGCTAGATTTCGAACTCACATCTGGATCCTGACACAGCTAAGGGAAACAACTCTATCGGGTAAAATGTTATCATTCTTGGCCTTCTGTAGGACAACAACAGGGTTCAGAGATAACAGGACAATATATCATAGTTGGCACAGTTTTATTTGCTGCTAGCAACCAGGCTAGTACGTATGGCTGATATCAAAGTTGCACATTGTATACTATATACACACTTTGCTGACACTGTCAATACTAATATCATACTGCCTCACGTCTTGTACAAGTGTGGACTTGGCCACTAGGGGTAATAACATAGAAATCAAAGCATTATACACATTCCTTAATCGGTTAATATTTTATTTTAAATGCTCCATCAATTCCGAACCAACTGCCTGAAGTTTCAATCAAAAAATGATTTTTTCCTCAGTATCACTTAGAGTTTGTTTACCTTTCATATTTTCTCATTGATACAATTCACAACTGAAGTCTAACATTGAGCTGAAAACTTGCAAACATTTCTTCTGAAAAAAACCCCTGATATAATTCTAATGAATGATAACCACCTGCACAATCACCGTAAACTCATGTACTTGAGATTTGATTAAAGCTGTTTGAAAGACGACAACGACACCGAGAGATCCAGTCACACGTCAGGGGAGATACCAATTGTACACCAGCAAGCATGCCAAGCACATGTACAAGATGGCTCATGGATTTCTATCCATCCGGAGATCACTTCAGAAAATACTTCTACAAAGAGCACATGATCCAGTTGGGGACTTTAGGGTGTAACTTCAGTAACACAGGGTGACCATCTGTATCTAACTGAAGTTAAGTCTACACACTATGACAGGAAGATGAAGGGACATACGTCATGTTGTCATTGAGGGGATAGTACTTAACACATTTTCATAAACAATCATTTTTATGAAGCCATTTATCATACTGATCACCTATCCTTATGGAATTCCTTTTTGTATTCTTTACTCTTTGCATATATATCCTTAAATGTTAAGGCATTGACATTTAAAATATAAAGGGAAAAGAAATAAAATACCTATTAAATCTTTGGTAATAAGTGAGGTTTTCCATCAAAAACTTTACATAAATATAACTTAATTCAGCCCTGATATTCTGACCTGTCAGTATCAACATTTCAAACGCCTGTATAGCAAATAAAACAAATATTATGACTAGTGCTTGATATTTACAACAAATAAATATCCACATAATAAATACATAGCTCAACTGACTCAATATTCTGTTCATGGAATATTTACATCACAACAACATATGCACCACAGCCAGTATTCATAAACAGCATACAGTCAAGTCTCGTTTAATCCAACACTCGTTAATCCGACAATCAGCTTTATCAAACACTACTGATGGGAACCGATTAAATCAGTCCTATCTAGACCTATTAATCCGACAGTCTCGAACTCCGACTCCGACACACCTAATTACCAACGAATTACCGAAATCACTCATTAATCAGTCTCGTTAATCCGACATAGTGATCAGCGTACTCCGTGGTCATCTGCCCGCGAGTACACAGCCCATGTTTTGATGCAAGATGAGTCGGCTGGTAGCTGCATATAACAAAGCTGCAGAGATAAACTTTGCTTAACAATAAACAATTAATGCTTTAAATAAAGAAAACAGGATTAATCGCATGCTTAGATTTCTCGATCTCATTAAAATCAGATACAATTTCTCGTAATCGCCGAGGACATCCCATAACAGGTAATGTCAGATGAACCTTTCACGAACTATGACCGATGAACGTTGGTACTACTTAAATTCGTTTATCCGACATACTCGTTAATCTGACATAATCATGTGCAACCAGCCATGTCGGATTAAAGGGACTTGACTGTATACACTTCAAGTAACCAACTCAATACTTGGCCATTAGTCACCTCCCAAACTGTCAACCCCATCAAGGTCTATGTTATTGTATACTTCAATTCTAACACATGTAACCACAGGAAAAGAACTAGCACGACTTCATGTTCCCTTGTTCTTTGCCAACAATGCAATAACATGTTTACCATAAGCAAACTGGGGCGTGTTGCAAAGGGCCAATCGCTTGCAAGCAATGTACAGCGATTCGCCTCACAACAGTGCGCTAACTTTGAGCCGCTTGCAAGCGAAACAATCGCTAGCTGAGGTCGCTTCATTCTCAAACCAAAATGGCAGCTGACTTTGACAGCGGAACAAGAAATTCTTGACTGGATCAACAGGGACATTGGTAAAGGCAACTAACATTGCAACATCCTCAGTCTGCTCCACATTTTCAGAGTAGTCATACATTTATCAGCTCGTCATTGAGCCTCTTCTATTACGTTCTTCATTATAACAAGGCAACCAAGCGGAAGTTGCGCCGCCATTTTGGAAGAGTGCACAAGCGGTTCAAACTGTTGCAGACACCGGGATGAGTGATTAATTTGCTTTCTCTAAGCAATTCGTGCCTTGCAACGCGCCCCTGGTTTCACAAATTGTACAGAGCAATACTGAATGTCAGATGTATGTTCGCTGCACTTGTTTAGAATTAACCCAGAAATCAACTATGACATAATGACACAATGAAATGCATAATCATATTTTCAACTATCAGTCAAGATGAGTTTTTTAGCTGAAGTCCAACTTGAAAAACACATCGAATGAGATTCCAAATTCAAACTATGACATTGTTGTCTTTCATTATCTCATGCCAAAATAAACAGAACTTAATTTGTCTTTAGTGGCCATTTTGACAAATATTACCCTTAAAATGAAATATTTGTTTTTAAAGTGTGTCAGTACATTTGAATCCATAAAATTTCCCTTTGCAAGATATGATATTAATCAGGAATTTACAGTAAATAAAGATGTCTTGAAGGTACAAATAGTTTATCCACTCACATGCCAAAACAAGTGAAAATGTTAAGGAAATAAAGCTTTAGAACATTTTCGCTATCTTGAATCAACATAGATTTCAATGGAGACTACACTTTAGAAACTGATCATGGCCAAAAATTGTAGTGTAAAATAACCGGTCACTTAACCAAGTTTTTTAGAACATAAAACTGACTTCTAATCACCTTATACAATTTAAACAACAAAACAGTAACAAGTTTAAAATTGTATCTTGTACAGCATCTATTTCATAATTTAATATAATAGTTCATCTTTAGCTACAACAAGCTATCTGACATCAAACATCAAATATTCGTTGCACAAAAAGACAAATTATCCAAAGATGTCGATATACACTTAGTTCTTAATCATGCAGACAGCTCCTTGCTCCCTACGCTAGCACACCCTGAGTCCTTTCAACAGTTGCTGACTCAGCAAACACACGACAGGAGACACACCTCCACAGCACAGACCTCACCTAACACACCGTAACTGTAACAGCAAAGCTGTAATGTGCCACACAAAATTAAATACAAATTAAAATTCTATGTCCTGTAACTCTAAAATTTCTACAGGTTGAAGGGACTCTTGACCCTCTTCTTAAAATGGTCCTGCCTTACGTTAGAAAATACGAAATGAATTGTAAAGTTCTAATTCGGTATCAACATTACTCCCTACAAAACTTATATAAAGGTGAGAGTTTCAGAAAGCTGTTCTCAATGGTCAGAGCAGGACAACCGTTCAGTGAAAGAACGACATCCCTCCATGTGCAGAGCTTGATTGAAAAAACTATGAAAAAAAAATCTTGGAGCTAATGAGGGAGAACGTGACAACAATGTGTCATGTGATATAAACCTAGACTGTCATTCCCCGCACACTTTCCACATACATTATTGCACAACAGCTACTCAACCTCAGTAACATTTACCATGTTGAGCATTTGGTTGTTGATTTGGACAAGCTTTTCCTTCTATGCACATCCCACACAAGCATCAATAATGATGGTAGATATTTCATAGTAACCATGGCAACAGGGGTACAACTATTACAGAATTGACCACATTGTAAAATATGTATACAAGAATAGTTGGTAATTATGTGTTTTCACAGCTAGAAGAATATTAAGAGCATCTTGAGTGCAGCAAAGTTGACATTTATCTGCAAGGATACTTTATTCGCCAAGCTTTAGAAAGTCTTGATACAATGCTGTCAAATGATCAAAGAATGATCAAAGAATTAAACAATGAACTCTAAAAGCATTCATTCAGTCTTCAGCTTCTTTCACATCAAGAACACTGAAACTGTACAGTGTATGTAGCTACAATATGACCACGAGCACGTCACACGCTATTGACAAGTGACTGAATGCCAGGTAAACAGTTTCGTTGAGCTGAGCTAGCTTGCACCATTTATTGAGAATTACATGCTGATATGTCAACTTTTGGAGTCCTCTCACCTAACACACAGGCGTAATGCTGCTGATCCCATCTTATAAAGCAAACATAAGAGTGATTCCTGTTGGAACTCCCGAACTTTAGACTAGAATTACCGTATTCGACGTAATAAGCTCCCTGCTCTAATAAGCGCCCCACGGCCATATTTGCTAATATATTGGCTAGTGAACAATCCCAATTAGCACCCCTTCCGATTGGTCGATGTACAAAAGACTTATTTATTCGCGTATAATGCGCACTCATGTGTTATATGCATCCTTAATTATGGGCATTTAAATTCTGGAAAAATATATCTGTCGTATATAAACATTTCAGGCTGTCAGCATAAATCATGAAATTTATCTTTCAACTCTTATTACGTCGAATATGGTACCTAGTTTGTTTTGTGGATCCAGGACAGTTCTCTTCACAATATTATGCCATGTAAATATCCAGGGGTATTATACAATATCACCGCCTTGTAACACAATCGTCTAGGTTCTAAATATATAAATTTGTACTACATGAAAATAGAAATAAGAACATATCTATCATGTTTATTGCTGGTAGTAAATCTTGAATTCAATCCAAGTGTGACTGTGAAAGAATAGTTTCATAATTGGTGATTATGGCATTGGGAGGGTGGAGGTTCAATATCACATGCACCGGTATTGTCTGGTAACCTTGGTTCCAGGTATCACATACAATTTTTTCCAAGTTCTTGTCACGACCTCCTGTGATAATGCTGCGGTGTTCCTAGCATGCCTCTGGAAATGTATAGCAGGAAAATTGTACCTATTTGAACTCAAGCATTATTTTACTTTTACCAAAGCAATATTTTACTTTTACCATAGCACTAGTTTACTTTTACCATAGCATTATTTTACTTTTACCATCTTGTTTGTTTGTTTGTTGTTTAACGCCGCACTCAGCAATATACCAGCTATATGACGGCGGTCTGTAAATTATCGAGTCTGGACCAGACAATCCAGTGATTGACATCATGAGCATTGATCCACGTGATTGGGATACAACGACATGCATCAACTAAGCCAGCCAGACTGACCACCCGATCCCGTTAGTCACCTTTAACGGCAAGCGTGGGTTGCTGAAGACCTATTCTACCTTGGATCTTCACAGGTTTTACCATAGCATCATTTTACTTTTACCAAACTACACAGAAAATCTACCACCAGTCCGTGAAACTTGCACCCTTTTTTATCCCATGTAATATTTCTCATATTATCACAGTCTGGATTTGAACATTTTAAATGAAATTATTACCCATCTTGAACATTCTTGATATTTTGCCCCATCTCTTTCACAATGATGATTATGAACTCAACTACATAAAATTTGATGTGACCAAGAATGTTTGTCATTTTAAAAGAAAACATCAACAATCAACTAACAAGATACATCACTGAAAAAAAGTGACATATATAAACATGATAATTCTTTCACAACAACGTGTAACCTAACATGCAAACACTGAACATTAATGGATGGAAAATCTGCATTCCTCGAAGCAGAATTTGATATTCAAGTGTACACAGGCCAAAGCTTGAAGCACACTAAGCTGTGACGGGTGTGAAAGAGGAAAAATAATAAATACAGGTGGAGCTATGACTAAAAGCCCATAGCTAATGAAATTTGGTCCTTTCTGTGCTTCAGGCAACAGTAAACAGCCAATACAAGTACACCACACTAGGCTAGCGTGGAGGCTTGGAGGTGTCGAGTATCTGCTGCCGGGATGAGATCTGGCAGTATGGCGATGGATATCCTACAGGACAGTGAGATGAACCTGAGTCATCAAGTAGTCCACAGCTTTCTGAGGTTTAGGAAAGGCCATTATGGGTGAGTATATCTGCTTCAACTATACCCGTGTTCACCTTATTCCAAGAATGACTGGCCTTGTATTGAATGAGCAGAAGGGGTGCCTTTGGTCTTCTCAATGACCTCTCCTGGATGTCCGTTGCCAAGATGATGCATGACTGTCATGATAAATCCAGTTGTCTACCGCCATCTTGTCCCATGTATCAAGACAGGTGAACAGTTCTTCCATGTCTGTCCTCAGTGGGATGACACACAGTATGTCGTGTGTTTGTTTGTACACATCAGACACACTGTAGGCGCTCCAGCATCATGCCTCTCATAAATTTGCGGACATTTTTAAGTGGGCACTCACAGAAGGCCACGCCTGCCCCCGCCCGATACTGCTGGATCCCTCTCACAGACGACCAGCTGCAACAAAGGGAGCAAACTCTGTCACAACAAGCAACAATAATGCCAAATGATAAAAAGCTAATGCACAACAAAATAAAAGTAAAATCAAAATTCTGTGATTTACATTAATGACAGATGAACAGCTGCTTCTGTTGAGGACCTCGATTATGGCTGTGGGACTACAACTAGGGTATATTCAAGCCAATGCATTTGATCATGTTTCGTGGATTGTCACATAGCTCCATACTCAACAACCCTAACCTTAATAAATATTCATCACTGCAACCTGTCAGCCTATTGCTGGGACTAGATAGACAGAATTTGATATTGTGAACAACTGTAATAATGATAATAATAGGCTATTTATATTGCAAATCTTTCCGCACCACACAGGGACATGCTCAAACCGCTATTATTACCCAGGTCACTGGATCAGTTTGCACTCAACAATCATTCTCAGCTCCCTGGGGAGTATATAACCCAAATTTGCATGTTAGGCGCTAGAAGGTTAACAACCTGGCCATCTCATCAGTGCTTCAGTGTAGGGCAGGACGACGCCCTAGAAACTATCAGGAGCCAAGCTGCCGAAACACGGTTACCCACCCAAGGACTCTGCGACCGACCTTGCTTAAATTCACCTGATTTGTGTGCTGTGCACTGTGCATAGGACCATGTGCCACCATTGCAGGGCATAGTGACCCACCAGCAGCTGGGTCAGGCAGAACATTCCCCCTGGTGGTTACCATAACATGTTAATCGTGCAGCCATGATGACCATCAAATCCCCAGTTCACTGGCTCCTATAACATGCAGTAGCACTGGGACCTATCCATCTAGTCTATATAATGTGATTTCTTACCACATATGAATCATACGTGTATACAGAGAGTAATTGGTGATCACTGCCATATTCACTATGTCTCAGTGCTTACAGCAAGATATTTATGAGACTAAACATTCACTGCTACTTGATATATAGCATAGGCGGATCCAGAAGGGGGGGATCCAGGGGGGCTGTACCAAAACCAAATGTAGTATGTTGTAGACAATCTCCCCCCCAAACCGAGGATTTTGACATTTTGGACACCTCCCTTCTTTAATACCAAATGTAGTATGTTGTAGAGAATCCCCACAACTCAGAAAGAATTTTGGATATATTGGACCCCTCCCTTTTAAAAATGCTGGATCCGCCCTTGTATAGACGATGCCTTAACTGTGTAAGTGTTTCAACTTGAGGAGATAATATGGTGGTATTGATGACACAAGTGACAGTTAGTGCTGATAGGGGCGTCACAGTGAGTTGGGGGACACAAGGAAGGTGTGACGTGTACTTCTTCTGCAAACTATACTAGTATAACTCTATCCAACTTTCAATGAATCTATTGTTGATTTTGCTTGTTGTTTAATGCCCTACTCAGCAATATTCCAGCTATATGATGGCTGTAAATAACCGAGTCTGGACCAGACAATCCAGTGATTGACAACATGAACATTGATCCACGCAATTGGGATACGATGACATGCATCAACCAAGTCAGCGAGCCTGACAACCTGATTCGCTTAGTCGCCTCTTACGACCAGCATAATCACCTTTTACGGCAAGCATGGGTTGCTGAAGACCTATTCTACCCCGCATCTTCACAGGTTGAAACTATTGCTGCCCCAAAAAATAATCTATCACTATTGCTAGTCACTGGAAGATATTGCAATGTGGGGTTAAAAAGGGTCTGCAGTGAGCATACAACACCATACATATTAACCTTACATGGTTCAGCATATGACTGAGCAAATATTTTGAACAATGATGTAGCATAAACAAATGTGCTGAAAATGAACAAAAACAAAAAATGTGATGGTGAGACTTTGATCACAAGCAGGATACGTGAACAACAGTCAAACAAAAAGATAGTGAGTTCATCTACAAATAGACATGCGCAGGTCACAAACATCAAGGTCATGACGAAGTCAAGGTCAGATACCTGCGCCAGCCGTGGAGCTCAGACGACCTAGCTCCCGGAGGTCAAGGATCTGACATGTTACCACGGAGACGCCTGCCCCAGCACGACAGACATCAATTCCAGCAACCGTTTCCCAACTTCATCGCAGCAAAAACAAATCAAGTAAGAATCACACGTGATAGTTTATGGAAATGGACCTTGATTTATCCCATCTACTATAAGACAAGTCCCCACTCAAGCATGACCAAAATCACACTGCTGCTCAAGTGGTAGCCTTTGTGATGGCTGCACTGCTAGAGGGTGGGATTATAGGGACATGGGGTGAGGTTGATCTAAGGTTTGAGGTATTTGGAGTTCCAATGTAGGATGACTAGGGTTTGCAACAGATCATTCATCATGTACGGCCAACCCAGTAAAATGTAGTAAATCATGTCTAGGAGGATACCAGTCTACAAAATTTGCAACGTTTGCTAGCCATAGTCAGAGACTAATAAATATAACAAGTAAAAATCCAATGATGGTAGTCCTCATTGACGAGCAGCATTTGAGGACAATAATTCTGACCCAGTTCTCAAGGCATTAATTTTGCTACAAACTGGAAATAAATAAATGTGATAGAAACTGTAATAAACATTCTTGTCTCGTTCAAGCAGGACTAGCTACAAACTCTGAGGATGAGTGAAATCATTGTTACAGATGTTTCAAATGACCAAATGGAGACCCACAAAAGAGTGACCTACAAGCTAGTTAACAAAGGCTGAAAGTCCAGTTGACTGATAATCAAAACAAAGATATATAATTCAATGAAAATCCATCACCATTTTTGAAAAAAGTTTTTCTACACTAATAAAGAAGTCAACAAAAGGAATCATGGAAAGGGATGAAAATACTCACGTGTCTGTCAGTGAATCGTATGACTCGACAGAGTTGAGATAGTTGCAGCCATCATGGCCTCCCACAGCGTACAGCTTGCCCCCCAGCATGCCGACGCCCACCCCGCCCCTGCAGCAGGACATGCTAGTTGTGAGGCTCCATGAGTCGGTTGATGGGTCGTACTTCTCCACTGAGTCCAGAGGAGCGTTGTCATCGAAACCACCTGAAAATACAGATCCAATTTTACATTAATATTACATTCAGTGACTATCATGATCTCAAACAATAATTGTAAACCTTATCTTAATCATATCATTGTTAGCATGGTTCAATATTTAACATTGCTCTTGTATTATTGAAAACTTGATTCCAACATCTATGTGTGGTCATTTGTATCTTAAAGAAAATGGGAGACAAACAAAGGTAGCTGATGATTGATGAGAAGACCCAGTGCTAATCCCATGGGCTACAAATATAGCCCCTGCCTGGCACCTGATACAAATACAGCCCCTGACACACACCTGCTACAAATATAGACCCTGACACACACCTGCTATAAACATAGCCCCTGACACACACCTGCTACAAATATAGCCCCTGACACACACCTGCTACAAATACAGCCCCTGACACACACCTGCTTCAAACATAGCCCCTGATACACACCTGCTACAAATATAGCCCCTGATACACACCTGCTATAAACATAGCCCCTGACACACACCTGCTACAAATATAGCCCCTGACACACACCTGCTACAAATATAGACCCTGACACACACCTGCTATAAACATAGCCCCTGACACACACCTGCTACAAATATAGCCCCTGACACACACCTGCTACAAATACAGCCCCTGACACACACCTGCTTCAAACATAGCCCCTGACACACACCTGCTACAAATATAGCCCCTGACACACACCTGCTTCAAACATAGCCCCTGATACACACCTGCTTCAAATATAGCCCCTGACACACACCTGCTTCAAACATAGCCCCTGATACACACCTGCTTCAAATATAGCCCCTGACACACACCTGCTTCAAACATAGCCCCTGACACACACCTGCTTCAAATATAGCCCGACACACACCTGCTACAAATATAGCCCCTGACACACACCTGCTTCAAATATAGCCCCTGACACACACCTGCTACAAATACAGCCCCTGACACACACCTGCTACAAATACAGCCCCTGACACACACCTGCTACAAATACAGCCCCTGACACACACCTGCTTCAAATACAGCCCCTGACACACAACTGCTACAAATATAGCCCCTGACACACACCTGCTACAAATATAGCCCCTGACACACACCTGCTACAAATACAGCCCCTGACACACACCTGCTACAAATACAGCCCCTGACACACACCTGCTACAAACATAACCAACCCCTGACACACACCTGCTACAAACATAACCCCTGACACACACCTGCTACAAACATAGCCCCTGACACACACCTGCTACAAACATAGCCCCTGACACACACCTGCTACAAATATAGCCCCTGACACACACCTGCTACAAATACAGCCCCTGACACACACCTGCTACAAATATAGCCCCTGACACACACCTGCTACAAATATAGCCCCTGACACACACCTGCTACAAATACAGCCCCTGACACACACCTGCTACAAATACAGCCCCTGACACACACCTGCTTCAAATATAGCCCGACACACACCTGCTACAAATATAGCCCCTGACACACACCTGCTTCAAACATAGCCCCTGACACACACCTGCTACAAATACAGCCCCGGACACACACCTGCTACAAATACAGCCCCTGACACACACCTGCTTCAAATACAGCCCCTGACACACAACTGCTACAAATATAGCCCCTGACACACACCTGCTACAAATATAGCCCCTGACACACACCTGCTACAAATACAGCCCCGACACACACCTGCTACAAATACAGCCCCTGACACACACCTGCTACAAACATAACCAACCCCTGACACACACCTGCTACAAACATAACCCCTGACACACACCTGCTACAAACATAGCCCCTGACACACACCTGCTACAAACATAGCCCCTGACACACACCTGCTACAAATATAGCCCCTGACACACACCTGCTACAAATACAGCCCCTGACACACACCTGCTACAAATATAGACCCTGACACACACCTGCTACAAACATAGCCCCTGACACACACCTGCTACAAATATAGCCCCTGAAACACACCTGCTACAAAAATTGATCCGTCCAAGACCGCTACTCCAGCCCCTGCCCTCCTCTTGTTCATGCTGGCAATTGGGGACCACTTGTTTGTGAAAGGGTCATAACGTTCGCACTTGTCCAGGGAGCTGGTGCCGTCATTGCCGCCGAGTGCATACAGTTGACCCTGAACAGATGAGGAGTAAGTACAGGTAAGTAAACCATATAAAAGCTACATCAAACATATTACTACCTGGCTCATTCGAATGGACAAATGATTGAGTATCATGGAAACAACAAAATTTTCTAAAAGCAACGTGCATTCATCTTTGGCCACACATTTTTATTTTTTTCGTTTCAGCCACCCCTGCTGAAAAGCAGCCAAAAAAATAAAAAATAAATTAAACATAAAAATAATTATTTTTATCGTCTCCTGCTAGTAATATAGACCCTCAATAAAAAAATGTTAATATAAATTCAAGGCAAAGGCAAGTATCCTTCCACTTATCTTCCAACTTTCACTGATAACTGAATTCCACAAGCACAAGTCAGCTTTTAAACTGTGTTACCATGGTTACAAAGATTTGGGTTTTTTCATGACATGAACCAAATATCAGCCTGAACTGTGTAACCTCTTACGATAATAATACAATATATGAATAACATGATATAGCAGGAGACTTTCCCTGACAAAGAGAATGCCCTGTGTGTCCAAGGCGCCTCACCTTTAGGGGTGCCACGCCCACCCCTCCCCGGGGGATGTTCATGGAAGCCACCTGGGTCCAGCTGTTGGTGGTGGGGTCGTAGCGCTCCACCGTGTTGAAGCAGGTGGAGTCGTCCAGGCCACCGAGGGCGTACACAGGCCCTCCCAAACACGACAGAGCTATACCTCTTCTGAAAAAAAGCACTCTTCATTATTCCCACCGCACAACATCAATAACTAAGAACTATTCATAAAAAATATTGTTCGTTTTAATATCCTTTAGCTTTTAAGCATCTGAGCATCTATTATGTAAAACATTACTCTAAAATATCACATTCAACTGCAGTAAAGATTGAGTGAGTGAGTTGGGTTTAATGCCGCTTTTAACATTATTTCAGTTATATCACGGCGTGTCAGCTTAATGTGGGAGGAAAGCTCAAAGTGATGCAGGTCTCAGACGCTTACCACTTCTGTGAAACCCATGAGCACGGGTATGGTGCTGACACACCTAGAAACATAATCGGGGCGATGCAGTAAAGATGTAAATATCCTGAATATATTTCTTAGTGATTGAGCATGGTTTAATGCCACATTATGTTGTTTTGGGCCCAAAGTGAGCACTGGAATAGTTTTGAGGCTGTGAGTGGAACCCAACTTCCGTGACAAGCGACTGGGAGGCCTCATTTATTGTTCAGTATATCCACTCAGTGGTTGAAGAGCTGTCTCGTTTACTCTGTTATGCGACAGTTTACCTGAGCGTGCTCATGGGTGCTATCTTCTTCCACTTGTTAGTCTTGGGGTCGAATACCTCTCCACTGTTGAGATGCTCATTGCCATCATGTCCACCAACAGCATACAACACACCTGAAACATGCAGATTCTTTGTATGTTGTCCAACACCTCACTCAGCAATATTCCTGCTATATGAGAGTGACCTGCAAATGATCCAGTGACTGATATTATGAGCACATTCCACGCAGTTAGGGTATGATGACACTCAATCAACCAAGTCGCCGAACCGGACCACCCGAACCTATTTCGCCTAGCATAGGTTGCTGGAGCCCAGTATAACCCTCACTCACCTTGGGTGGATACATGCACATCACAAGTAACATATCTTCAGGCAATAACCATAGTAACCACTGACAGGCCATGGCCAACTTGCCGTATCAGCTATTCAAAGTCTCCATCAGACAAGGTAACAGGATTGAGATGAGATAATATAATGCAGTAAACTACGATATATAACGAACTCAAAGGGACCACTAATTTTAATTCGCTATAACCGTACTTCGTTATAACTATGTGTACAACATATACACAATAAATCGACGGGACCAAGAAATAGTTTGTTATAACAGTCGGTTCGTTATAAGCGTGTTCGTTATAACTATGTGTACAACATATACACAATAAATCGACGGGACCAAGAAATAGTTTGTTATAACAGTCAGTTCGTTATAAGCGTGTTCGTTATAACTATGTGTACAACATATACACAATAAATCGACGGGACCAAGATATAGTTTGTTATAACAGTCAGTACGTTATAAGCGTGTTCGTTATAACAATGTGTACAACATATACACAATAAATCAACGGGACCAAGAAATAGTTTGTTATAACCGTCAGTTTGTTATAAGCGTGTTCGTTATAAACATAGTTTCCTGTAATATAAAATCCCTCAGGTAATCTACAAAGCATCTTCACCACCATTTAAAATCTTTTAGTTCAGGTTATTATCCTTTTAATTGTAGGAGGACATTTTGTGAGAATTTATACTTCACTACCGTATGAGTTTCATAATCAATGATGACTCACCGAACACAATCCTACTTTGAATACACAATGCCATTTAGAAAGTGGTCAAATGTAACAAATGTTATATTTGGGATAACACTTTCTTAGTAAAGTACAGATTCTAGTGGGATTCGAAACCTAACATCAGGTATGTGGCCGACACAACCCTACTTGTTTCAAAAACGCTGACTCACAAGATACAGCCCTACTTTCACTCACCATTGGCAGCACATACACCAACATGGCGTCTGCGTGTGTGCATCTCGGCGACGTGGAACCACTTGTTGCGGCAGACATCATAGACCTCGATACTTTTGAAGGGATCCCCGGTGGCTCCACGACCTCCCACACAGAACAACACACCTGCACAGATACACACAATGATTGTCACCATGGTAACAATGTAAAACCAAACACATTGCATTCATCAAACTACCATCATAGGTTCAACAAACATTTACTGTTGTATCTAAATTAGGAATTAATAATATGCAAAAATGTATTGAGTGAGTCTGTAATAGTAATACTAACCCGAATAGCTCTTCCTTTCCCTGGTTCGTGGTGTTACCTTGACCCCTGGTACTAAGCTGACTTGTGACATGCGAAAATACTTGGCCTCATCCAGGAAGTCCCGACATGCCAGACTGTTCCTCATGAGTTCTTCCTTCTCCACGGTCTCCATCAGGTACGTGGCCGACACCAGCGGCAGCTTAACATGCTCCAGCAAACTCGGCAGAAACTCACTTCGAGTTTCAAGGTCATTTTTCACCCAGTTAATTACAGCCTCATAAACTTGCACTTCATTTTCAACATTGAGGTCAAATGAAGATATCAACTTCTCGAGCAACTTCTTGTTCATGACCTTGAACTCTCCACCTTCAACAACCTCTAAGAAATGACTTAACAAGTAGTCCGTGGCTGTCTTCATCAGTTCTACACGATTGTGCTGTTCAGCAAAGTTGTGCACATCGATACAGTTAGATGGAGTCAGTTGTGTTTTCATGAAGTCACAGCACGCTTGAGCGACCGCCTCCATCTGCAGTATGGAGGACGCATACAGAAGCTGCTGGACTGTGTCTATTGTCAAGGTTATCTTCGAGGTGTACGCAAACTGGATGAGTTTCTCCATTGCATGAGCATCAATGTCATGGATAGTGACGGTTTCCTGTTTACTTTCCGCCATCTCGGACATGAACATCGCCCTGAAATACAAACTTGCACATGCCAGAACTGTTCGATGACACTTAAATGACCTCTCCCCAACAATAATTTCAACATCACACAATTGGCCATTCTCATAAAATTCTAGCAGTGTCTTGAAACTGTCCTTCCATAGATTCCTCTCTTCATGGGTATGTGTTGACGTCATGTCAAGGTTCAAACGCTCTGTCACCGAGTCATGTGACATCTTTCTACTTGTTGGCGATGCGGCAGATGCGCCACGTAATGTATGATACTCAGAACTAGGTCGTGGGGACTTGTGGGAGTGGTTCCTCTTGGAGGGGGCTGGCGGGATTGGGGGTGCCTTTCTCGCGTGGTTGGGCAGGCTGTCCTTGCGCAGAGGAACAGGAGGATTCTGAGGCATGCTAGAGCTGTGTGACCCCCGGGTCGGTGACCCACCCCCGGCCTTCACCTCCTCCCAACGCTGAGAGCTGAAGAAGCCATGCCAAAACAAACTGCGAGTCTTCTTTGCTCTGAAAAATTCAAGAAAAGCTGTTACAAGAGAGCACATTCCAAACAACATTTTCACTCATGCTCATGTGCTCAAAGTGAGGGAGAACTATCTAATTTTTTTTAATTGCTTCATTAGGCTACAAATTTATAAAAGTGATCTTGGTTCTAGTGTACCACGTAACCATTTTTGACCATGTGACCACCGCTAGCTTCCTCCATGAATCTGCACTCTAAGAACATGTGAGTGAGTGAGTGAGTGAGTGAGTGAGTGAGTGAGTGAGTGAGTGAGTGAGTGAGTGAGTGAGTGAGTTTTAACCACTAGGCTATCCCACCACCCATAAGAACATGTGTGAACGGCATGATGGTGGAATCTGATGCAAGAGCATAATTTGATCTTAAAAAGTTGTTTCTTAACCATGTTTACTCTTTTCATTTCACAAGCAGACGGTCCTGTGAAACAAGAAACTTAAATTGTAACAAATCAATTAAAAAGCCCATGAAGGCTGTCATCACAAGTGATGGTGGGAGGTCTACCTGGTGACATTTACACCTCTCTAATTCCCAGGTAGGTTTTTGTTTCAAAAGCCAACCTGTACTTCTGGCTACAATAATTCCTTCATTAAACAGCTGTATTGAATACAATTTGAAGATGCTGTCTGTTCCCTGGAATATTTTAAAGTTGACGTATTTACTTTTGTTGCAGATTAAAAAAGCTTATTTTTTATTTCAGGCCTTAAATAAATGAAGGATGTACTCTAACACTGTCAACACAAATCATTTTAGGGGACACAGGTTCATGTAACATGTAGTAAAGAAAGGTGGCAAGTCTTCAAACTAAAATATCATGTTTGAAAGTGACATGCTAACATCGCCCCATCATCTGTTTCCAATGCCTGAGAACTTGGGAACAAGCTAAATGTACCAGATCTATTACTTCAATGTACACTTCAATGTGTTTTGGTTTCATATTTCTCTTTACTGTTACAATACAATACAAAAATCTGTAACCTGTAACCATGGGAACGGTCACACAAGTCAATTGGAGCCTTGTTGTATTCAGTCAGAGTGTTGTTTTATCCTTCAATCAGCAATAGTCCAGCTTTATAAACAATCCAAACCACAGGGACACAATGATACAGAAACAAACACTAACACATGATAGTTTCATTTCCTTGTTAGTCCCATGTTAACGAGCATAGGGGTACTTAGGACTTCATTCTGCCCCAGAATCAACATTGGCTGGCATTGTGCATTCATTTGTTACAACACTTTTCTTTGATATAAATGAATGATGCCAAACTTCAACAGGACACAAGTCCCGAGGCTCGCACATAAAAGGGGATTGTTCCTTGTAGTTTAAAAGCATTTGTATCCTGGTATAAGGCAGTCAAAGCTTAGTTAAATACTTTCGTTTTTCAGCACTGTAAACAATGGCAAACAGTTTCAGTTTTTATACTATTTGTCATAAACAATGCATCAATCATGTGTGCAGTTCATCAGTCATGTTTGATCAAACATCAAACACATCATAGTATAAATTCAGTAACCATGGTTACCATAATATATTCAATATATAAAGTGATATTTTGAGGGTTGTTACATAATTTATTAACAAACCAACATTGTACGTCATCACTGATACAATTACTCCATGGAAATAGATATTAGGCAGCAATGTAGAAAAATACATTAACACTGACTCCAGGAATGTTCACAGATGGGGAGTTGGTATTCACATCCCTCGTTAAGCAGCACATGGGAACAATCAGCAGCTTCAACTGGCTTATTTTTGTTTTCTAAATCTAAGCAATCACCTTTTTTCCCCTAGTAAGAAGAGAGAAAGGTTCAGCAAGAGAGCTTAGCATCCCTGCCTCCAGCTACCTGTTGCATGCCGACACTCTCGCCTCTCGTCATCTGCAGCTTACAGAAATAGAGGCTCAGCTTCATCTAAGCTGACAGCATCAGGTGCGAAGGTCTAGCAGTGGCTGCCACCTTCATCACGGCCCGCTTGCATTAACAACTTCAAGGAAAGACTATACCTAGACACTCGTACAAATATCACCCACTGTTCTTCTCATTATAAATGAAAACACTTATGATGCTGTTAGCATCATGAGCCTGCAGCCTTGTTTTTGATACAATGGTTTACAGATTCCACTTCATCCCTTAAACTATAGGGTAGACATGGTAGATGGCGAATTGAAAACATAATAAATATTTTTTTTTAAAGTCCTCATAATGTTATTTGATCCCGGACACTATTCCCAGTCATATCAATTGGGAGGGAATGGTTCCATAACACTGAGAAATAATATGAAATTGCCCACTGGCATGGAAATAACTGCAATAATGACTCTCACTCAGTCTACCTGTCCTGGTTCACATAGATCAAACACTTCACGCCAAATAGACATGATATATATTTTATGACAATATTTATGGTGGTATGATTGACAAAATATGCCAAAAGTTTTAGCCCAAAGATATAGGGTAAAAACAACCTAATCTCATCAATCATAAGTTTACTTTCAGGATTGATCCCGTTTTTCTGAAACACAGCATTTATCATAAATTCACATTTTTCTCACGTGAACAGTCTCAGGCCACCTGATGGCCTTGAGTCAAGTATGTTCATTCTACTGCCTGACAGCCAGCCAGCCAGCCAGCCAGCCATGTGTGTGTGTGTGTGTGTGTGTGTGTGTGTGTGTGTGTGTGTGTGTGTGTGTGTGTGTGTGTGTGTGTGTGTGTGTGTGTGTGTGTGTGTGTGTGTGTGAGTGAGTGAGTGAGTGAGTGAGTGAGTGAGTGAGTGAGTGAGTGACATCATGAGCATCCATCTACACAATTGAGATACAATGACATGCATCAGCCAATTAAGTCAGTGATCCTGACCACCCGATCCTGTTAGTCGCCTCTTAAGACAAGCATAGTCACCTTTTACGGCAAGCATGGGTTGCTGAAGACCTATTCTCTACCCAGATCTTCCCGGGTTACTGGAGTGAGTGAGTGAGGTATTTCATTTTCAATCATATAGTTTTTTCCTTCCCACACTTGTACCCCTCACTGATAAAAAAATGAAAACAATGCAGACTACCACAACCACAGAAAACCTTGAGTATCTTATTTCAAGGACACTTACCATACAACCAAGAACTTACTCATGCAACTCCTATCACGAGGACAAGGAGGAAGTAAGAGGTCGCTGTGAAAGGTGTTAATTATATCTCCGACTTTCTGAGGCGTTGACCTACATATTGCATAACATGCTTCTCAGCATGAGAATGCCTTTCTGACAAACACATTAACCGACAAATGGTGCATACTTGCAATTCAAGTACACAGCATACTTCATATACCAGACATGCCTGGATAAATATCTTGTCACATCTTAAATGAACTGATAAACAAACAAGACAAAATCCATTTTAACATGCATTGTATTTTATGTGCTAATTTGCTGTTACGATACAGAAATCAGGAAGCTACATCTAACATGATCTAAGTTTCCTCAAATTCTACAAATTCGCTCGACATGTTTTGATTATGAAAGTGACAAGTCACATTGACTCACAACCATCTTCAGAGACACGACACAGGCAGTTCAAATGAGGTTTACGGCCTCTTGTCCCCATTAAATGGATGAATAACAAGCTGCAAAACATGGAATTTATTTCCTTCACGTCACTCTTCGTTCTTTTTTAATATTTTAAACTATAGGGTATATAATCTGTATCAGTGTCTTATTTCCCTAATCTTGTTGCAGATGTCAGCATCATCAAGTTGGAACACATGAATGATATCTGAAACTTTACGTTAATTCAAAGTGTACAATCAAATAGTGAGTGAGTGAGTGAGTACGGTTTTATGCCGCTTTTAGAAATGTTCCAGCAATATCACAGCGGGGGACACCAGAAATGGGTTTCACACATTGTACCCATGTCGGGAATTGAACCCAGGTCTACGGCTTGACGAGCGAACGCTTTAACCACTAGGCTACCCGACCGCCCGTACAATCAAATACCATGGACAGGCAATGTGTTCTAATGCTGGTCTTGCCCTTTACAACATAGGAAATGTGTGTGACGACCCTAGATGAAGACAAACTTACCAGCTATGTCACATTTTCTACAAAATATCAGTAGTTTCAGCAAGACAAAGAGTTATTCTATTACATTACAGGTGGAGATGTCAACTAAACAAACACACACATATTTACAGTAACTATTTTTATCAGGGAAATGAAAGATTATTTTCTGTATTTCAAGAGTTCACTGGCGCTAGTTGTTGATTATGTAATAACTAACAATGTCTACCTTCCTAGGAGAGAACGTCCTTCATTGCCAGCAAACGCCTAAAACATTGTAAAAGAGAAACTGGGAGCTATAAAAAGACACAGATTTGAAACAGATTTTATTCCCTAGCCCCATGTTTTATGTGAGGATGGCCTGCTATCCCAGCTCTATATTACACAACTATGTTGGTGCAGGCTCCGAGATGGTGCACCATCCAGGTGCTGTTATCATCTGGGTCTCTTACACTGGGTATAAAAACCAAAGCTTTATCAACAGTGTGGCACAGGCGTTATATATCAATATACTACAGTTCGGTATGCATGGTATAGGCAGCATAACACATGTACACTTAAGGTTATATACAATACAGACCAGTCTGGTAAAGGTGTTATAGATATGTATCTACCAGTATACAGCAGTTTAAAATAGATCTTATACAAACTAATGATTAGGAAGGTGATGTGCCGTGCATGATTCACGCATTTTTTAAAACATAATGGTGCATAAAATACACAGTAAGGGGCCTGCATGCATAGTACTTTTTATATGCCAGCCACCAGGTTTACGTTGACTGACAAATCAGAATTTAATTTCATCATCACGACCATTGAATCGCCAATTTGCTGCCATCTTTTGTTTTCACTACTGCAGTACTCATACAAAATCTTTAATATATTTTAAATTCCACCCATAATTTTCTGATTGCGTATGATTAGAACAGGTTGCTATGG